ATTTTCACTTGCTTGCACATTTTATCAATAGGTACCTACTTAGATACATACATCCAATTCTACGATATACCATTCTGACAAGTACATCTAATTAATATGAATCCACACATTTATTTCCATTTCTAGACCCATCACCAATCCTAATCCAAATCCACATTCAACGAAGAGAATCCGGTAAAAATCGAGTTGTCTTTCAGTCGGACAATTAACCCAATTGAGGCTCAACTAATAATGACAGCTACTCACTCGGTCGCAATCATCAAACACGCTATGTATAATTGACAGGCTTATGATGGACCCTATAAACCGCCCCAGCTCAGACCGCTGTGGGCCTACCTGTGGCTTGTGACCGGATAGCCCTCTATACTAATGGTTACCTAGGTTTGGATATCCCTGTGCTAAACTAACTAGCTAGCCTAGTCTAGCTTACCCCGCCTTATCACGTTGTAGCTTGACTCTTTGGATGGATGGTGAGAAAGAAGGCTTACCCTTTGTTTTTATTTTCAAATGGTGTGGAATGGATTAGAGTCCAGTTTATTCATTCACTCTTGTTGATTTTGCTGTGAAGTTGTGAAATTATACTTTATTCGAAATTTTTGATCTCTGACCTCTTTTTGTTTGATTTATTGGCTGGCATATGTTCAACTAGACGTCGTTTTGAGGAGGCGGTCGTGTTGTTGCCTAAATTTGCATAGTTATATCTATCTTTTGCCTCAGCCTTGCTGATTTCGTACTCCTACCACGTATTTGGATTCGTGTACTGGACTTTCGAATACCTTGGACTGGAGAGTTGAACTGATAATTCATATTCCCGTCATCTCCTATCGTTCTGAAGAGCCGGTCTGGTGGTTGCCTAGATCTACATTTATCTCCTCAGCCTTATTGATTCCCTGCTCTCACCACACATTCGGATCCAAGTATCATCTCGTAACTTCAGTTGGACGATCAAGTCAACAAGTTTACTCTCGTTCATACAGGTTCTCTCCTCAATAGGACTATGGAAGCTTCCGGATCCAAGAATAACAGATCTCCTCCTGGAGAAATCATCTGGAATGCTTCGGATGACATGTTCGAGTTCTCCGATAGGGAAATTGAAAATGTTGATTCGAAAAAGTCAGTGATGAAACAATCAATCACTATTGAATCTTGTGAAGGCTTAAAGCTTCCCGGGGAAATAGAAAATATGGAAAGGAAAGACGAAGAAGAAACTCCACTGATGACATTCAATGATGGATATCAAAGTGTTGGTCAAAAAGGTGGTCCAAGTTTAAATGATGGTGCGTATCTTTGAGTAGATCATACTTCATATCTGTCTGGCCTAATAAACTTTGATTCTATACTAACTCAATATCGTCAAATAGTGCGACCCCATTTGACTTCAGAGTGGGGGCAAGCCGGTGAGCAACAACGCAAAGCTCGACAAGAGCTCAATGAAAGATATCACAATGCAGTCGAGTACAGCAAATCGCTTCTGGATGAAGGCGATACTCTAGTTTACGTCTCATATCCTGGAGGCATTACTTTCTACGACTTCAAGGGAGAACCACAACCATACAGAATTTATCGAGTCAGTAGTCACAAATTAAAGGCACTTGGTTCGGCAAAATTCTCTCGGATGTTTGAAGAACGACCACAACATTGGGCGAGAAAGAGAAAGGGTCTTCTACATTATCTTCCAGAAAGTATCAAATATGTACTTGACCTTACACCACTAGAAGAAGGTGACGAGGCAGTCGAATTGGTATCAGAGTTATCCTGCTCGGCAGGAATTAGGAATTGGTACTTGGCCGAGAAGCGATGTGGTGTCGAAAAGCATCTGGTTGCTGGCGATGATGATATTCCTGGACCTGCCATTGTCCCAGCTAAGACTGCTGAACAATTTGGATTAAAAGTCCCCGTGGACGGCTACATAGCCTTCCTATCTTCGCAGTCGAGGATGAACTCGCCTGTCAATGATAAATTTGTCTTTACATCTTTGGGTCGTACGGTACCTAAAGACGATACTTTTGTTTGTGACAAGTCTGTCCAAGATTCGAATATGCAAAGAGCGATCAAGAATAGCCTGGAAGATGGTCATTTGTTTATTGGGCCTTCGGGAAGTGACCCGGTGGGAACTGCTCATCATGACTCTACCGAAGTAGTGGGGTCAAAGAAAAGGGTCTTAGATTATTGTCCGATCCGACATCGATTTGGAGTCGAAAATCTTCTTATGATCATTCAAGGTAAAGCACCTAAACTGGATTCGGCGCCAAAAGTATGGACGTTGTTTGTTTTGGCAAAGTATTATGAATGTACAAGCGCAGTGGTAAGAGATCATTCCTTCATTTCCACATTTTTAAGTCTAACTTCATTTCAGATTGACTATATAACCTCGTGGATCATGAATGGAAATAATTACAAGTTCCTCGAAGTTCTTCCTGAAGCTAGTATAAACATTGGGTTTGGCTTGAAATCACCTATGATTACAAGAGCTGCGTTCTCAATTCTTGTTTCTGAAGAAGCGCTCAATGTTGCTTCGAGAACCTTTTGTGAAGGTCTTGGTAGACGAGCAGAGTACAAGTATCTTCGACCTCGTGAAGAACTTGATGAAGATTTGTGGAACGTTATTCAACATGCCAGTCAAGACTTCTGCGATCGTGTTCAAAAAAAGATCACCGATTTGTTGGATGAAAGAATGGCTTGGTTTTTGGAACTTCCAGAGTACAGAAAAATATGCAAGTTTGAAGACTATTGCTATAGGAAAAAAGATAAGAGCAAGAAAGACGAAGCCATCTATGAGCGAAGAAAGACGGTTATTCAGCAGTTACTTATCAATCTTCGTCGATTTGTTCGAGGGAAAATTATTACTTGTTTCAATCAAGGACTAGAAGTCTTTGAGATCACTATGGCAAGTTTAAGTCAACGCGAAGCTCAATGGGAAGTGCATGCAGCTTCAGGAAATGAATCAAATGAGGGTCCAGATCCAAATTACATTTACAACGGTCTTGGGGATCGTGAAAGAGTCTTACTACCACATTTCTGGCGTCGTCTTCGAGATGTCTATTGGGAGGATGATTTTGAGAGCCCTAAACTCAACTCATATAATCCGCAGCTAATTCGTTCGGGCAAAAGTCTTGTGGATAGGGATAATCTGCGCGTAACAAATACTTCTCACCTTGAGATTTACGTCAACGACTTTAATCGTGAGGTCAACCTCGCGGTTGATAATGAGAATTACAATTCATCATCACCCCCGAACCCCTTGCCTACTATCCCACCGGCTGAAACGAAGAGCCTAGATGAAGAGAGACCTAATTATGCATTTATGAGTGCATACAACCAAGACCATGCATATCACCAGGCACGTCTAGCAAGTATTAGAGCATTGGAACTTGAGCTTGCCGAATTCGGTGAGAAAACAGATGACGCAGCATCAATATCCTCCGTCTCAACTGACGCTTCGACCAAGCCATTACTCGATCTACCTTTGCGCACGAAAGAGAATAGAGTTGCGGTCGAAAATAGAAAGGATGAATGTGATATTGATGCCCAGCCGGGGCCTTCAACCGGGGCAAGAGAGAAGTCGAAGAATTCTGCACCGAAGGTTCTCGAGAACTTCTTGCAGCATATGGGACATAAATCACTCGATGACTACAAATCATACAGAGCCGCTCCGCTCACAGGTATCTCGCACCCAAAGGTGGAAAGCAACTCCCCTATTTTATCGAAAGATACCCCAAACTTTACCTTCGCCAATACATCCACGCCCTTCTCCGCCAACTCTAACCCTTATCAACTAAGCGAATCCCCTCACAACTTCAAACTCTGTTGCTTCCTTGACGAACTCAAATTTTACATGGACCATATTTGTCAGTCCATGCTCTCCAAATCAGACGGATCGGAAAACTACATGCTGACGGATACATTACTCTCTTTGACCGATAAAGAGTGGCAGTATTTACCGCTTTGGGCAGGGGGGAATGATGATGGCAGTGGTGGTGTGACGAGTACGGATTTACCGCCCGCCTACTATGCTAATGTGGAAGGATTGACGCCGGGAGTTATGTATAAAGGGGCTAGTGGATTTGTGGGGGTAGGAACAGGAATGGGAAGTGAGAGGAATAGCAGTTTGGATGCTAAGCATGGGAGTGCGAGGACTGCGACGGAAATTGGAGCGGGGAGTCGAGCGGGGAGTCAAGTTGGTATAGTGGGTGATGATGATGGTGAAGGTGATACGGGAAGTCTCTTCTCGGCAGGAAGTTATGATATGGCTGCTATGACGCCCATGGGTAGCGGAAGTGAAAGTGAGTTCGAAATTGTAAGCTCTGGAGAAGATGAAGGGTTAGAGAGTGGTGATGATTTTACGGCTGATGGGGATAGTGTTAGTATTAGTGAGAGGGAGATGTCTGATGGTGAGTCTGATGAAGAGGATAGAGAGAATGGGAAGGAAAAGGGGAAGGGAAAAGAGATAAAGGATGAGAATGAAGATGGTGGGGAGGATGATATGGATTGGATGAATCAAGAAGATTCGGAAATGGAAGATGATTGGGACCGTTCTTTTACTGATTTGTAGAGTTTATTGGAGTAGCGTTGGCTAGGGTAGATTTGGAAATGACGGAACAATGAAATAACGATGGCTTGGAATGGGAGAGGGGAAAAAAGCGGGGAATTAGGTAACAATGATTTAACGAGATATACGATATTATTCAGTGAAGATGTGAAGATGTGAAGTTTACCGCGATCTATACTTCGCGTTAGATATCGATGAGTACAACTATCTATCTTGGAATTCCAGTATGACTAGAGTACCGAGAATCATACTTTCTTTATCGTGCAGTCTCATGACATGCCAACTTGATGAGCGCACACATTCGCGATAGATTTGTGAGGCGATGCTGACCGGAGGAGATTGGAATCAGTACTCAGGGTTAGGCTTGTGCTCTATTGTTGGACACATAATCTCAAGTAATCTAGATCGTGATTTTTGTAAGTCAGGATAATTATAGGGCACATGCTCTCATTCAAAATGAATAGTGATAGTGAATATCTTAAACTAGAAATCCTTCCCACATCCAAAACATTAAAGGTAACAATTGCATCTCTCTCACACCAATCAAAGAGCATTGTCGCGTCCACGAATGAGTGTATCAGTGTTCAGTAAGAAGCCAACTTTTTTTAAACCCATTAAACGAATGTAGTACTGTTTTGAATAACCCCTCTTATTTCCCCTCCTCTCCATTCTCCTCTCATACCACGTACCCATACGTTCGAATCCTCCAATCGGACCATGCAAGCCTCATCTGCATAGCCAAGCAAGCAATACTAGACAATCTAGAGACGTCTTGCTCACACCTATGGGGTCCTCATACAGGATCCTAAGGCGAACTATCTGTTCAGTTTGTCGAGCAGATACATATCCGTGGATAGGTACTCTGTGGTATCCTATGATATGAAACCATATCTAACGAGTTTTCGTAGACATAGTGATGGATTGGAAGGTCAGACTTTTGTAACGCTTTTTAGCCATCGCTCAAAGTTAGATTTTCCATCGCTTCAAATAATTCATCTTGCTTCTCCATCTCACGATATGTCTTTTTTATCTCGCGGATACTATCACGACGTCTAATATAATCGTTTAGTTGTGGCAGTCCTCCCGCGCCCCGTCCAGGTCGAATAGACAATGGATTTCCGTAGCAATCAAGAACCTGCTCAAGAGCTTGGATGGGAACCTCGTAGCACGCATCGATTTTGAGATACGAGTCTAGATGCAGTGTAGTGAATTGCCGTACCCACTGTCCACAAGAATAGCCCGAGCTGTTGCGGAGTTGAATTTGTATCGGATAAGGTTTTTTGGGCGTGGGAGCAATAGGCACGTATTCGTGACCGTCTTTGACGGTAGATGTAATCTTAAGATGTCAGAGTTAGTACTGGCGAATGAGGAGGATGGATAACATACCGTCATTACTTTTACATGGTTCGGTCTACCACGCACAATACCGAGACAGATAACCATGTGCTTACGCACAATCTTTGCAACGTTGTCATCGAGAGTTATGCCCAAATGATTGAGCTCTGAGTCGGGAACGAAACTGTAAATCTTCCCCTGTACTAGCTGAGGTTGAACCATCTTATCGATGGAAATTAGGGATATACTTGACAGAGCCGTGGGTTTTCAATCGAAAGAGTATTTATGGCAATTTTTCTATTTTTGAACTGAAGAGATGGAGGTTACTCTGAACAATCGAAAAGGGTTGGAAATCAGCTCATTATCTACTACTGGTGGGTGTCATCGCATGTACTTTGCCGTCGCTGCGGCTGGTTGGCAATCGCTGATTGGACCCAAAATGCGAGCTACCACACTTCTTATTTTGGCCATGGAACGAAAGATTCGTCGAATGCAAGTTTTTGATCACTTTTACTACCTGGGTGCAATTTTTTTCTTCTGAAAGTCTCTTCTCTCTACTATCAACACAACTTAATGGCGACTCTTATTCAATCCCGAAGATATCTCAATTTACCATGTTAATTTGCTTCAAATTTGAATGAACTGTGTGCTGTTCAATAAGCTCGTTGAATATGCTAGGTGAAACGTTATCGATTCATCGATTCTGAAATATACACGACTGATGAACTATACGCACTTTCGCTTGCCTGCTTTATATTTGCCACTGAAGTTGTGGCGTAATTATATTTGTTCTGGATAATAGTGTTTTGGAGAAGGAGGGGACGAGTGTGTATTTGTGGGTCGTCTGTAGTATACGGGACTGGGCTAAGTAGGAGGGAAGAAGATGGGAGGATTCGATAATCACTGCTTATGCTTGATCCATTTGACGAGAAAATTCACGAAATCTGAAGTTATACCTATCTCCAAGACTTCAGCCTAGTATCTATCAATACTACCCAAGAAAACAATTCACCATATTACACACTTCTGTGCTGCTTTTTCCCCTTCTTTACTTTCTCAACCTCAATCCCGCTCTCACTCGCTTTCCTCTTCTGGCCCCTAGCAGCCCAATTTTTACCCATCCTCTCCTTCTCTCCCTTCCCAAGTCCCCTCACCAGCAACTGCCCGGTATACACCGGATCTGGATTTCTCGTATTCCTACTCCCCCTTGATCTCACCGCTTCTCCCACCTTCTGCATTTCTTGAATCGGACTTTCCTGCGCTATTTCCACATCTGGTATCTCGTCATCTTCGCTTTCCACCAGTGTTTCGACTTTATACGGTGAATCATATTCTACGCTTTCTTTTCCATGAACCTTCTTCTTCGCATGTGCTTTGGATGTAAGTCTAATTGTTATCGAAGGAGCGGGAGAGGGCGATGGAGCTGGGCTTGAATCCATTTCTTGACGAAGTGACTTGTTGTGTTTAGGTTGCGGTCTGGGGGGTTTAGAGGTCTCTAGTTCTTTTTCTGAATATTCGGAGTCGGAGCGTTGAGGATGATGGCGTGGATCTCGCGGGATCTTTGTGATAGGTTTCTTTTTGGACATCTTTGATTTGGGTTCAACTGCAGGAGGTGAGATTACGGGTTGTGGAAGTTCAATATCCTCCGTCTGTGTTTCTATATTTGTGGAAGTAGGCGTGTCTGTTTGTGTTTCCGCATTTTGATTATGCGTGATACGCTGCAATTCTACTTTTGCCTCTGCATCTTCCAACTGTTTCTGTAAATGTTCAATCTCTCCAATACTTTCCCCAGCAACGACTTTCCATCTCGTGATCTCATCTTCAAGATCAGACAATCGTGTCGAAGTCTTCATTGATATCTCGAGAAGCTCGGTAACTTTTCCTTCGCTGGTTTTATGTAGTTCGTGAAGTCTCTCAATTTCTTCGCGGAATTGTTCGTCTTCGTCTTCTCTCAACAAGAGCAGTTCATGCAACCTCTCTATTTCCACTCGGTATTGTTCTTCCTCTTCATCTCTTAACGTCTTGAAGAATTCAGCTGTTTGTGTTTCACGGGCTTTGAGAAGATCTTCCAGTCTTTCAGTCTCGGATTGCTGAGTATCTTTTTCCAATTGCAAATCTCGAATTCTCTCTTCGCCCCTCCTAAGTTGTTCTTCGAGTTGTGTTGTTTGCGTCTCGCTGGCTCGAAGAAAACTTTCTAATCCATCGGCTTCGGCTTTATGCTCATCCTTCTCGCGGAGCAAGTCTCGTATTCTTTCTTCGTTTTTACTTAATTGTTCCTTCAATTCTGCAATCTTCGCGTCCTTTGTACCTTCACTCTTCATGTCCTCTTGTGTCGAATGCAAAAGCTTAGCAAGCGCTGCTTCTCTTTCTTCACTCTCCTTTAACATTTTCTCAAGACTCTCAACTGCCCAATCACGTTCTCCGTCTTTCTCTTTCCACTCATTCATTCTAATTTTCAATTTCTCCCTTGCATCTCTCAACAATCCTTTCAGATTATCCCACGCGACTTTTTGACTCAAGGGTCCATTCACCAAATCCATACAATCCTCCAATCTCCTCGTCGCTATCTCTGCCTTCTCCGCCCTCTCTGCTGCTTCCATCTTCTCTACCTTCAATCCCTCCTTTTCATCTTCCGCTTCACCTTCTGCAACATCATATCTCTGACATATAAGCTCCACTAAATCATCCGTATCTTTAAGCTGAACCTTCAAATGCGCAATGACTTCCGGATCAGTAGCGTTCGGATCGAGAGGGGATCTCTTTCTATTCAATTTTAAAGATTCAACTTTAGGGTGCGTATTTGATTTGTTAAAAGATAACCCCATATATTTATCCAATCTCTCTTTCGACTTCTTCGACTTCTTCTCCGCAGATTTGATGTCCGATTGAGCTTTATGAAGCCGTTTTTCCAATAAATCAATCTTCCAATGGAGTCTCGCAATCGTTCCTTCATTCTTCAAGTCAACATCTGTAATAGGAAGTTCAGGTTCGCGATCGGGATGTTGTCTCAGTGTGTATATTTTCTGCTCTAGGATTTCATTGTGTTGCAAGACGGTCGTTAAACATCCCACAGCACTCTTGGTAAGACTATTCCTCTGTATTGTTTTATCCATCAGTTTTCGCTTCGTTTGGTAGAGTTCGATGAATGCTCGAGCCAATCTTGCGCTCATCGAATCATCGTGCACATCGCCAGCAAGGTCTTCATATTCCATGTACTTCTCTTCCAGGAACCTTTCAAGAGTCTTGGTCTTTTCTTTCTCGTCGCTCAATTCACGCTGGCATTGCCGGTACTTTTTGGTCATTTCCTTGCATTGTTCGTATTTTTCCTCGGTGGGATAAACGTTAACAGCGAGTTTCTGCGATAATTGATCCATTAGTTCCATGATGGATGTGAGATTTTTCTCCACGTGTGATTCCTCTATAGCCATGTCTCTTTCCCTTTTGCACCATTTGAGTTCAGCTCTGACTCGTGTTAACTCTCTTTCCGCATTGAAATCGTCTGTATTCTCAGCAGTACTGAATGCCAGTTGTTCTCTCAATCCTAATGGACCATCAATTTCCTCTTCTAATTCCTTTATTCGCTTCTTATGAAATTCCCGCTCCTTCCGCAATTCCGAGACTTCTTCGGCATCAACATCAGCACTGGTTTCTAGCATTTTCATCACTACTTTTTCCGCCTCCTCATACAATCTTTTGTAATCCTTCGTAGCATTTTCGTTTGCATCATGTTGAGCTTGTGTGAGTACAAAATCCTGTGCATCCCCCGTACCTTTCCCCTTCTCCTTGCTTCTCAGACCCGCCAATACCTGCAACTGTTTTTCGAGCTTTTGATTTTGTTTTCGTAGAATCTTGCGTTCCTTATCCATAACATCAAGCAATACCATTTCCTCTTTCCTCTTGGCCTCTTTGCGTTCACGATATGCTTCGAAATGAACGGGTGTCAAACTGAGGATTGCGCGTGTTACATGGGACATGTCGTGATAATGTTCGAGACGTAGATCCCTTCTCTCGAGTTCTTTGATGCGGTCGACAAGTCGCTGGTAGTGTAGATCTTTGTCTTTTCGATAACTTTCCAGCGATGTGTCGTTTTCGTCTCTTTCGATACTTTCTTTTAGATTTTTTTCTTCTTTTTCGGTATCTAGTTCTTCTTCTTCTTGCTCGGAATCATCTTCTTTCACCTCCACTTCTTTTTCTGAATCTTCGTGTTCTACCGATTCGGTGGTAGAAGACTGTTGCCTCAAAGGAGAGGGGGCATGCAAGATTCGTTTACTGCCTTTGAAATTAGCACTACCTAAGCCTGGACTAGCCTTGAATCTACCAGGAGACAGCTCTGTGTTTTGCTCCGGTGTTTCTCGCAGTGATTCATCTCCTTTTGGCGTAACCTCCTTCGGCGGAGTACCCATGAAATTCTCCGTCAAGATCTCCAATTGTTGTCTCATATCATCTCTTTGTGCCATCAACACATGAATTTGTTCTATGAGAGCCAGTGTTTGTGCACTCGCTACTGGTGGCGTCTCTGAGACTCTCGCTGAACTACCCCTAGCTTCTTCCTTTAAGTGCTGTATATGAAGTTCCTTTCCCCTAATAACCTCCCTTGCTTCCTGAAGCTCCTCTGCAATCATGTTTCTCTGCTGCTCAAGAGAAAAATCACCTGTTTCTTCTTCCTTATCTTTCCTCTCCTTCAATTTTTCCAACTCTGTTTTCATCTGAATGGCCATCTCCCGTGTTTTTGTAACCTGCTCTTCCAATTCTTTAGTCTTCCTCTCTGCCTCCAACTTTTCCCTCCTCAACACCTCTAACTGTCCATCAATTTCTCTTGTGGCATATTTTTCCCCTTCGTCAAAAGCCTTATCCCTTTCGTCTCTCACCTGTTTAATACGATTTAATCTTGTTTCCGACTCCTCTTTAGCCTCGAGAAGCATACGATTGAACGTTTCCAGTCTAATACGAAGAGATTCATTTTCTCTCTGACAAGCTTCAAGAGGGTTTTCTTGGAGATGCCGGATATGTTCTTGGGTAAAACCAGAGTGGTCAAAATTGTAATCCGACATTTCATGAATGGCGAGTAAATATGAATGATTTCTTACGAAAATTCATCTTTTCTCAATAGACAATAAAAAATTGCGTTCGAAAGCTCTGAGAATTTACCCAAGTAATGACCCACGATAATCAAAGAAATTTGTTGACCAATTGTAGATATTCAAAATAGGTGGGTGTGGGATTGTGAACAAAGTGGGACGACTCCTTTGTTCACTAGCGAATGTTGTAGCTGTTTCCAATTGAAGCAAATTACACTAACAAAGGCACAACACATGGGCTGAGACATAACAATTAATAATTATATATAGAAAGAAGTTACAATTCACCGGGAATTGCCTGGTTGGAGAATTGTTGAAAATTTGGCAAGCATTATCTTCCAGATACCAAAGAGCCAATAAGATGGATTTAATCGATAAATAAGTATGAAATGAGATGAGACTAGTACAAAATTTTATCCTAAAAATACAGAATGCTTTCCAACAGAATGAATACGTCGAGGCAGACACTCGTCCTCACAATCCGGTGACTATGGGCACGATGGGCATTTAAGCCTTCTGAGCAGCCTTCTTGGCATTGCTTGGAAGTACCTGCTTGCTTACACCACTTGGACCATCAACTTTAGGAGCATCAAGAGGTCTGTTAAGTCCGACACGATCTTGAGTGTTGTAAGTACCGATTCCACCATCTTGGTCTGCCTCAGTAATAAGTTCCTTGCGACGTGTATCGACGAGAAGACGGATGAGATCAGGTCTCATGTAATGGCCACCGAAATCCCCGAGAGCCTTTGGGAGGTGCGATTGATCGAGATCGATCTGAAATTTCGTTAGTATGGATTCCTGATTGAGCGAATGCTTTATATCTTACCTCGACGAACATCAAGCCCTCAAACTCTTCATCAGCCTTAGCAAGGCATTGTCCATCAGGTCCGAAGATTCTGCTGTTGCCGTTGTAAAGGTTGTGATCCTCACGCTCAACTCCAGGTGGAGTGCACTTGTCGACCCCTTCCTTGGAGATGCGTTGGAATGGTGCGAGAACGTAAGTTGCAGTCTCAATGGCGTAGGCTGGAGAAACAATATCGGAGTTGGGGTTGCTAGTGTTTGTCCATGGATCTAATGGAGTGCGAGTCTCCTCGTGTGGGTAGATTGGCCAGCCGGCAATGTGGACCTGAAGAAATGTGAGAAACAATTTATCAATGCACCTGCAAATGTGATCTTACCTGTTCTCCCTCGGAAACGTTCATTGCCTTCAGGAATGGGTTCATGTTCTCCCAGCAGTTCAGTTGTCCAACTCTTCCAATATCTGTCTGAACAACACTCTTGAAGGTATCTCCTGCTCCATCGCCGTAGACAAGCTTCTCAACGTGAGTAGGCTTGATCTTTCTGCGGTGGTTGAGAACTTCTCCGGTTGGGGAGATCAGGACCTGAGAAATGTACAGAGTTGCGAAGTCGATTTCACTGTATCCCAGTGAAACATAGATAGCATTTTCGCGGGCAGCTTCACGAATTCTGCGCATCTCATCTGAGTCAGATGCAAGACTGTTCTCGCGGTATGCCTTGAGCATAGGGAGAGATTGTTGGTAGTTGACCTTCCATGCCCAGTATGGGTAACCAGGAATCCCTATGGGTGCGTAAGTAAATTGGAAAGAACGAGACCAGAGCTAGATTTACTTACAAACTTCAGGGAATGCAACGAGTTTGCAACCTGCCTTTCCAGCTTCGTTGATCCAGTGAATGGTCTTCTTGACAGACAATTCGAGATCGAACCATCCAGGCTCAGCTTGGACAGCTGCGGCCTTGTACTTCTTGATTTGAGCAGGCATTTTGGTATCTGATGAGATCACTGTTGATTTTTGATTTTTCGTTGCTGTTTGCTGTTTGCTATTGTGGAATGATGAGAAGATTGTGTGATAGAGAGAAGAGAATACTTGGATGAAGTCGAGTTCTTATACAACTCAGAAGTTACACCCAACACAAGGAAACTGTGATTTGGATCTCATACATTCCGATCATCATACGATTAGGTTCAAATCCCGCCCCAAAATTTGTGACAGTAATACCCAAGAGTGATGAGGGGCAGAAACATGAAGACGTCGTATGCAGGAGGCCTTGTAACTTTACGAGTATACTGTAAAGCATAAACATTTATAACGACATATAATGAAGTTGTTTCTATAAAAGCTGCTTCATGCAACATCTCCAATTTGGAAGATTAGCTGTTTGAACCCGTTTTTGATGTATATCGGTGGATGCTCGGAATGTAGTAATCGCTTCAAACATGCTCCCCGTATTTCTGGATCTCCCGTAACGGTTCATCCCGAGATAAGGAAACCGAAAGTCGGGACCATAAGACAAGACTTACTGAAAGCAATTTCAAGCCATCTAGGAAACCTGACCAAGTTATGAATGTACATATACATATATCTGAATTGTTGAAGCAATTGCCTCAAACCCCAACACTAGCTGGCGTTACAACAGGTCTTTGTTCACTGCGATAAAATTTTAAAAGCACCTGCGTAAGATAGAATGGAGCACATTATAGATCACCTAGGTATAGCCTGCAAGCTGACGATTATGATGCAACACGATGTTGCAGCACATCTGGAATTTCAAATCCCGAAATGATTACCCTATGCAAACGCAGCAATCATACGATCGGATCGCAATTGACCCCGCACGATCAATAATCAAAGTTCGCCAAGTATATGGACTCCAGGAGAGACGAAATTCCGATGATACCTGAGAAGAAACTCCTGCTGTTGCAGTTGAAAAATTACGCAGATATTGAAGACTTTAGTATGATTATGTAATCGAAGAATGCAGTCAAGAATGCCGAGGACCACCCGAGATCACGAGTAAATAGCGGATGGCATCGGCAACCGACCTCAGGACAGACACCTAATAATCATAATTGATTCGCAGAAATGTTTGACAACTTGTAACGGCGACTATAATTTACGAAGAAAATTCACAGGCAGTCAAAATGGTAGGGAATGATGTGTAAATGAAAATACGACATAATAGCTGACCTCAAATCGTTGAACAAAGGGAACGTTTTCAAAGAAACATCGACTCGTTTTGATTAATTATCTCATAGTTATCGTGTCTATATACAATGTGGAGCTAAGAAATACAGTTGGGGGATATTAAGTGAAGCGTACAGGATGCATCTATTTCATGAAACCAGCCTTTCCATCACCGTCAGCATCGACCTTTGGGTTGAGCTTGTCCATCAAGCTAGGCTTCTTATGAGACTCGGTGGAGGAGTGGGAGGTGGTATGGTGGGCAGTGCCAGCAGTAGTAGAGGCGACACCAGTACCAGTGTGAGAGTGAGAACCATTGAGTGCACCATTGTGTGTACCAGTGTGAGCGCCAGTGTGGATACCCTCTCCCTCAGTCAAAGAGGTAGTGCCTCTGGCACCCTCGCCTCCAAGAGTGCCGCCAACAGACTTTGGCTCACCCTTGAAAGCATCAGTGCGCTCCTCACGACCTCCTAAGGAGCCTCCTTGAGCTCTGAACTCGCTCATGCTGACAGCTGGAAGAGCGGTGGCAGTGTGGTGCTTAGCCTCGTTTTGGTGAACCTCGTGGACTGGGATGGTGGTGTGGACAACGGATGGTTGAATAGTCTCCTTCTCGATGACTGGTTGAATGGTCTCGTGGACGTGGTGATGGACATGCTCACCAGCAACGGTGGCACCTTTGGCTGCGGTGTGTTGAGTCTCTCCGACAGTTCTGGTGTTCTTGAATTGAGCTTGTTCAGCAGCGAGACGTTCCTGAATCTGGTTGTCATCTCCGTGCTTGATGTTACGGTGCTCAACAGATCCAAGTTGATGGGTGTGTTGCTCTGGAAGGACTTCACGGTCTTGGATGGGCTGAACTGAAGTGTGGTGGTGATCTTGATGAACCTCACGGTCGATAGCAGTCGTTGCTTCTTCGTGACGGGTCTTGGTTATGTGCTCATTTTGGACAGCTGGGTTGATAGTCTGCGATAAATCATTAGCACTTTCTGGGATGCCGACTGAAGGGCAAGAACTCATACCTCGTGAACAGTGGTATCATGCTTTCCATCCTTGGAGAGGAATTCACTGACAGCTGACTTGGCACGATCCATTTTGATTTGATAGTGTATGTGAAGGTGATTAGGTGTTTGTTGGGTATAGTTGATTGAATTAGAAGATTGTTGATTGTTGATTGTTTGATTGTTTGTGTTGAAAAAGAAAACGAGATGGGAGGACAGTCTATCACTTATAGTCCCGAGAGCCTCGAGATGATAGCTCCTCCCCCGCACCTAGCACTGTCTACATCATCATACTAGGTACAATAAGTTTTACTTTCCAGATTCGGATAGCTGTGTCTTGCAAATACCTGATTTTATGAGATCTGGAGGATCCGTCACCAAGTGGCTGTGCATCGATGCTGAGAAAATACCCGCGGAGGTTCGTATGGAATTGCCTGGTCCTTACATGGTAGACAAAGGGTAGGAAGATGTGCCGGGAGGTCAATTGGCGCTACTTACGCACTTCTTCTCCACTTTTGAATCATATTGTAGCAACATTCCAGATGTTCTTTTGGTAATTGGGTACCGGTCTTTGTCCGACAAACGTCAGAATCCCATGTTAGCATCTCAAGTATGGTATTGGCAGTTTCGCAAAAGTGGATTTCGGTTGTTGCGCGAGTAAAAGCTGAAGGAACTATGATTTCCATTTCCAAAACAGCTGAAGTGAGAGATGGTTCGTGAGATAGCGTAATGTAATCATTGCTCATACTAGAAACTTTATTTGAGTTACGAGTTCTGAGAAGAAAGTCTAACCACTAGTTATTTGTGCTGTGGCTTCTTGATGCCATAAAAGTTGCAAGATTACCAAGATTTTAGTTTTTTGAGTACCAACAGAGCCAATCATCTATATTGAGAGTTGTTGAGTTGTGCGTTGTAGCTCACGTTCAGAGACTCGTACCAATTTACACATTGTTAGGTTCTGAAGAAATGTTAATTACTGAATGTTATTGATGGTTGTTGATTTTACCATGATCGATTTGATGGGAAACTTAAAGTTGCATCATTGTGCCCCGCATCGGATTAAGCCGCAACACGGGAAAGGGGCGTCCGCTGTACAAGATTACTAAACAACGTAACCATTCCAAGTGGCTAGGTGAGATGAGCTCCGCTTCCTTGCTTCCTTGTCAACATTTCAATACTTTTCCAAATATCAAATGATTTGCATTACACGTGGATGTCTGCCGCAGTGGACCTGGGTTATGATCGAATAACGTACATATCACATACAACAATGTAACGAAAATCAAGGAAGTCGAAGTTCTTTACACCGAAAGTAGGTAAGTGACCGATTAGCCAGCATTTCCATATGTGAGTGGACGGAGATCTAGTGTACTAAACGATCTAGCTTTTGGGTCAAGGGGTCCATGCCACGTCGCTTCAATGAATCAACGATCTCTATTCCAAAGTTCTCATGGGTTTAACTTCTAATGGAGTGGTTGACTAGAATCAAGCAAATTATTTCCCTTGCCGGCACATTAAAATCTTGGAGATCGAGTGAACATACAGTTGGTAACGAATTGAGTACGGGCTGAAATGGAAGTTCGCCGACATGTTATTCTATCCCTGCTGTGCTTGCCAATATACTTTAGAGCTTTCGTCTGTAAAATTGATTTTATGTTGATGTTGTCGTTGTCGTTTGTATCGTGCTTTGTTACCATTACGAATACCAAGTAACGGGATTGGGCAAAAGAGATCGTCACAAGCATTTCGAAGATCCCCTACCGGTAAAGCTATCTCCGAACACCGATTGTTTATTTGAGACATCCTAGCCTATCAATAGCTTTCAGAATTAAAGATTGGATCTTGATATGATCATCATCGACATATGATGCTCAAAATTCAAGAGGAAATCAATGTTCAAAAGTAAAAGTTTCAGATTCACCAGTTACCGAAACTAAATTTAGACACCAGCTGTCAGTTGATAATGTACCAAGATCTTCCAAAGCATACGATAGCGATGATAGCCGTGAAGGAACGAGTAGAGGCGGTGGAAAGACTTGTACCCAATGTGAATCAGCAGAAGCTCCCATAGTTACAAAGCGTCGACAAGGCACTACCAAATCCAAAGAGCATGATGAGAAATTCAGAACGGCTCAGCCGATAGTGATATCCAGAACTGGTGAAGAGAATTCTCTTTGCGTATGATTCCTGTGTTTGTGCAGAGGTCTCCTCCTTTCCTGCGATGAAAGAAATCTAATGTTTTGCGGTCGCGGCCTCGCCCTATCTCTGTCGACTGTTCTGACCCAAGAGACACATTGCCGAAACTACCCAACTCGACCTATTCTCTTCAAGCGTACGAATCTTCATCAATGCCTGTATCAATGCCTGTACAGTCTGTGCAAAATCATAAACGGCACTCATCTCATTCCTCTAATGAATACATCGATGTCTTAGATGCGCATGTCAATTTGAAAGGTGGACGAGAGAATTCCAGAAATCGAGCGATGACTGCTGGAGTAAGAATTTATGGGGAAGATGTAGTAAATCGAAATTTGGCCATAGTGGAAAATTCTCAAGCAGATCCTAGCAATCTTCAATATAGCTATTTGAGATCGAGATATTGTGGCGTGGCTGAGACTGAAGTGTCTAAGCATCTAGACCTCCGGAGTTCATTCCTAAAAATGACGACACAAAGACACCCCAAAAAGATCCATCCTACGTCCAAAGTGTATCAGAATCTCTTTTTTCCCTTACCGGATCTCCACCAGAGACAATATTGGGTTCTGCAGAATATCCTTGTCCCACTAGCACCTGCCATAGTAAAGATGGCACGGCCTCTAATAGTCATGCGAGTAACTTCGATCGTCATGAAGGAGATCTAGAAACATTACCATACATTTTCGAAGCCACACACTAAACTTCATCAATTCGAGAGGCTCGTCGTCGAGCATTTGTTTCTACACAATCGCATCCAATTTCTCCAGCATCACATCGTAAAGCATCAAATATTATCAATTCGTCAAGTAGCAATTTTCCAATGAAGGAGACACTGCGAACCAATTCGGTGCGGGATCGAGACACTTCCCACTCAACCTCTACTACCACTTCGGCGAGGCACACCCACGATTTGTCTTCAGAAAATGGCGTCTCTGATAAAGTCTCTGACAGAACTCCTCGATCAATGCCATCTCCATCAAAATACGCTCCTTTTCCTACAGACAAAAAGGTAGAGACTAAAGGCAATGGAGATGACATGCACGTCAATGGTACCAAATTCCCTATTGAAAATGGACAGAAGCATGCGTCCTCGTCAATGCCTGATCATTTTGGGATGAATGGCTCATACCTTATTGGAGAACGGCCGGAGCCCATAGGCCTTGAAGGTGTGGTAGATCTTAACAATACTGTGGATACTACTGTACACGAAAAGGTTGCACCCGGTACATACAATCCCTCCCTTGCTCATCGCCATTCAAAGTCAAACCAGTTATCACCCTTGAAACTCAATCCCTTACTACCAGATTCACCTGCTTCACCATCTTTTGTCCGCCCAGAAAACTGGCCATTTGTATCTGCAGGATCTACAGTAGATAGGAGCAGAAGCTGATTCATCTTTCTCATTAGCTGTTGTTCATGAACATATTTTGCCGACTTCCCACGAAATTATAACGAAAGAAATTCATCGAGAAATCCATCAACATCATTGGTATCACCGAGTTCTTCCAGTTATCGATACCGAGGTCTTACCAGCCAAACATTACGTTTATGGCGACGATGGAGACACGCTGGTTAGAATACCAGAGTCGATGGTACGGGGTCATACCATCACAGGAACCTATACTAAAAACTGGTCCATTGTACATCATCAACCACAAACTCCAGCTGAAGATCCCTTCGACTCTCCACTGTTCGGAGTCGAACCAGAATTACCAAACACAAAATACACAACACACTTTCAACCAGACTCGAAAGGTGGACTTCAGTGGTCTCATATACCCGGCGAGCCTGTGAAAGTCATGGAACGAGAGTATATCACCGCAGAAGGTTTCCCCCGCAAGGAAACTTGGTGGAGGTATCCACCTGTTATGGCGACTGCTGCTCAGGAGGCCGGTCTAACAGTACCTATGCATTGGAGTCATGTACCAGTTGGAAAAGAACACACTGTTCAAGAAACACCAGTATCGACCTCCAAAAAGGAGAAGAAGATTAAGGAACTTCGTGATTTGGAACATGCGCAAGCAGCTGAATACAACAGCATCGATCACATCGATTCCAATATGCAAAAACTTCGCGAGCAAAAACTTTACGATGGTCTTTCAGACTCGGATTCGAAACATGCCCGAGAGCTCAACGGTATGCAATCACGTTTAGTCCCAAGAAAACCAGTTGCAAGTCAACAAGCATATGAAAGACCACCAACTAGAGATTCAGGGTATGGTGGCTTGGATGGCTCTCCTTCATCTGCTGGAAGAGGCCCATCGCATTATAGAGATACCTCAGGCTCGAGTATATCAAGTGTTCTAGGTAGAGTACGAGGCGAGGACGGAATAAAATCTACTCCTGTAGATGGAGAAGCTACCAAATACTTACAAAGAATGAGAGAAAAGAGACGAAGCTCAGGTGCTTCTTCAGGCACTACGTCTAGGTCTTGGGGTAGAAGAAGTGAGGATTTTCAAAGAGGTCCCAATTTTACCTTGCCCGAGAGGCCAAAAAAGCCCGAACATCATTTTGGTGCTCCGACGGCGTTATGATAAATATTATGGATTGGTACAATTAAATGCTTGGGGCTGGGTCGTAGAAACATAAAGAGACGCGTTCATTTCACATTTGTATATTAATTATCACAGAAAGCCTGTATAAAAGCGAAAATAGAAAGTTATGTAATTATTAGGAGCTGTATTCGCTGGCCACTATTTCCTTCATCGTCGATTTCCTTATTTTTGCTCAGAAAATCATCAGCGACTATAACCAATCCTCACAATCCACATTTTAGCATCGAAACCTCAGCTGGTAACTAACATGTACCAGGTACCTACCCGTAAATACACCCCATTTTTACCCTTTGGTCGCCGGTCGCTAAACAAACAAATAAACAAAACCCCCGCAGATCGCCACTAGGTCATGATCGACGCATCTAGACTGGAACTGGATGGTCCTAGACTCGGAGCTAAAACTAGCGTATCAGCCACATCTATGCGAATTGGGCTTAGGGATCTAGGTTCAATTGATGGGTCTATGACTTCATTGTGCTTAAGAGGCAGGCGAAATGGGGGACAGGAAAGAGGAACGAGGAATGTGGAAAAGGGAAGGTTCATGTGGAAGTGACAGGGAAGATCCGCTAGGGCATTGTTACGACTTAGAGACTCGTATTTGCTTGTGTGTGCGTGGTTGTTTGGGTGAAGTTTGGTGTGAATTGAAATGGGAATGAGAATAAGGACGTTGATAGAGTTTGAGGTCTATTTTATATACGAGATTCTCTGAGTTGGAAGAGCCTCGTATATCAACATTGAAGTGTCTCCGCAGGGACGAGAAAGAGAGCTCGGAATTGATTTCTCTCAAATGGTTTTTGTATTTCAATTATTGCTTTTAATATGTACATGAAAGGTGCTTTGACAATGTTACGAGCTCTAAAACAATGGAAAGGTACATTCACGATTTATTATTGTGAATTGTACAGTTTTAGTTGGCGGGTGATTGATGATGTTGATCGATTGATGAGATTGTAGGGTTTACTTCCGGCTTCCTATTTCGTCTCTGTGAAGGATGCGAAGATGTTCCTGCCTAGATTGGTTTGGGATAGCGGTGAGATGAAAGCTTGGAATGTGTTGATCGGACTGAATGGAATGGGAATCTGAGATGAGTTTTAAGCTTCGTACATTTGGGTTTGTGTGTCTGAAGAGTCGAGTTTGGAGGAAAGTAGATTCGAAGTTGATGAGTGTCATGTTCTGGATAAGGTAGGTGGCGATGTGGCCAGGCTATGAGTGACCGCTCTCTAAATTTGATTTTGAGCTTTGTAACTCGTGTTGCGGTGAGATTTTGGATTGCGAAAGGCAGCTTGACAGGAAGAGAAATGTCGGATGAGCAGTTGTATGCACGTGATAGTTTACACGGGAATATCACGGGCTTATTGGCCAGGTTAGATGTCCTTAATTACGAAGTTGAGTTGAGAAGGGCCTCAAAAATGTCTGTTCATGAAATTGCTTTGGGAGAGTTAGGTCTTTGCAGGAGGAAAGCGCATTAATAAAACATATCTTGACGTTCAGACAGTACTGGAAGTGATTATAGCTTATTTATGCTGCATATCATGCCTTGAAAACGCCGGAACTGCAATCAATCAACATTGTTGATGAAGGATTGTACAGAAAAGACTGATGGTTTGGTGGATGACGATGCAGATGTTTACTGGAAGATCATCAGGAGGAATTCGCATTCATCAGAGTGCATTTGGCAGACCATTTGCTACTCGAAAGCACTGACAAGAATAGGACAACACGCTCGAAAAATACAATTGGTAGAACTAAAATTTTCTTCTTTTCTCATCCTCCATGATATTGACGTGAGAATGATTCATTCGATCCAGAATTCGTAGAATAGATAATATCTATCTGAAGTTTTCTGACAGGATACCTCATTTTTCCATTTTGTGTTGGGAAAATAGCATCATCTCGTCTCGAATTTCTCAGCTGATGGTTTTCTTTTCCAAGAGAAGTACAGTAATTAGGTCTATCTCTCCTCAATCTTATGATGAGTTTACTTGATTGCACGTATTGAGTACGAGTAATAACAAATATTCTCAAGTTGAGAAGTTAAAGAGCTATAAGTATATCAGATTATGAGATCCTTCGATGCTGAAGTCTATCTTCCGATGATTCTTGGTCACACTTGAATTAATTCCAACATGTTCAACGCAAAGTATTCATCGGGCGATCGATTCTTGAATGTTCCACTTCGTGGAGATACTCGAATAGTATCTTTCCATTCCAAAAACACATATAGCTGGAGTTTCGCAACCGAATATGATGGATGGTTAGAGAACTAACATCTAGTTTCAAAGTAACGGATTATCCTTCCTCGCTCTCATTGTTAAGTCTTAATATAACTTGCTTAGAACAGCACAAGAGGAATGCACATTATAAGATAAGCAGTGTTTCATATAACTACGATGAAAAGGTATATCGTGGCGTCTGTATAAACCAGAGAGATATTAAACGAGAATTCTGCGGCATTCAAATTAAAAATCCTCATAAAAGAATTACTTATCACCACTTCAAAACATACTGTCTAATTATGCGACCATAGAAACTTAAGCTCACAATTGTAAACCCCTATTTTGTATTTATACATCTAAGAAAATATACTGTCTCAGTAGCAGATCTCTTTTCTAACCCAGAACTTGCAGATGATAATTGAGAAGTCACTTCAGTAACTCAAAAAGAACGGAGAACTTCATTGTGTATGTTGTGTAAGCTTTCGCTTCGAAAGGGGCAATGGCATAATCACTTGACATCAATACTGATCATTCACTTTCTGCAAATAAACACCTCGATTGTTTTCTGTATCGGGTTCTTCAAATTTCTATTCCATGAGATCCCCAGACACTTGAAAATTCCCACTCACAACCTCTCTTTTGCCAGCAAGCCTGGATGACCAGAATCTCAACTGTTTTACTTTTTCTCTTCCTCTTCTTTCCCCTTTTTCTTTCTTTCATCCTGCGCTGTCTTACTTTCCTCGTCCTCCTTCGCCTTCTCCTCCTTGGCCTCCTCCTCCTTGGCCTCCTCCTCCTTCGCCTCCTCCTCCTTCGCCTCCTCCTCCTTCGCCTCTTCCTCCTGGGCCTCTTGCTCAATTATTCCTCTCTCCTCCTCATCAGACAATCTCTCTTCACTCTTCATGTAAGTTTTGATTATCGATTTCATTCGCCTCGGTTTATAAATCCTCCCGTCATCAAGCCCGCTACCCTCGGCCGCAGCTCTTTTTGTCATCTCGGCCGCCATTCTATCGGCTGAGTGGAAATCTACATTCTCGCTCCAGATTCTGATGAATAGATTCCTCTCGAGCAGCGTAAGGTCATTCATGACGAAATGAATACGTGCGTGTGCTATGAGCTTTGTCTAAAAGGGTGATACGGTGTAGAAATTGATTTCTCTGAAGCATAGGGATATCGAGCCATGATAACACAGAGTTTAAGTAAATCTGAGAGAACAAGGTGATAATTCTGGTCAAAAACATATGGCAGAGTCATTGTGGGTGTTGCTTTGTTAAGTTGTTGTTTTGTAACAAGACAACCTACTTGCTGAATCTATTATTTGAAGTTTGGAAAGCACAGTCAACTCAATATTACTGTTTCATGCCTCATGTAGTTCAATTGAATGAATGGAGCAGTTTTAGTTCTGAATTTTCTTTATTGGAGTCCTTACTTCTGCTCCAATTACTTCATTAATATCCTTCCACTTTCCCACCAGAAATTCACATCTCGGGCTGATTGAAAGAGTTTGATTTTTACATTGTCAAAATCAGGACATAAAGATCCGTTCCCCATTATCTAATTTTGATCTACACAAATCCACTTAGAATTACCCACCACTGAGAGCTTCTTTCATCCCAGTCCCTCACTCAGTGGATTTTTGTGACTCTCTTTCATCAATTGGGTTTTTTGAGTTGAGAGCATTGGCATGTCTCGGGTATAAAAAAGGGGCAAAATGGATTAGGTTTCAAAGATATTTTCTAGAGTCTGAGCTTTACTGCAACGCAGTACTTGTGCTTGCATTTTGCTATAAATGATAAACCTTGTGGTATTGATTCTTCTCTATCACTAGATATCCTTTGTTATTCTCTTTTAAAATAGGTTGTTACATGAGTTATTGTCAAAATCAGGGAGCCCGAACAGTCAAAACTGCTGCAGATTAGTTAAACATTTCCTGTAGTTAGTGTTATCTGAAGCGATCAAAGCCACGAAGGAAGGAGATGTAAATGCTTGCTAAACTAAATTTCTTTGATCATCTACTAGATCGTTGATAAATCTAGGAGAAAATGTTACACCGTAGAGTCACCGGAGAGTAATATCTTGGAGGTAGGATTATCCTAGGATTATTTCTAGTCTACGAAGTGGGCATCGTTCCATCTCTTTACAGGTTGCCAACCCTTTCCCCTTTTTTGACGTATTCTGACCAAAAAAACTTTAGTTACTAAGCCTCATTCACATAGATTCCGTAATGCCATTTTCCACCATATTCTATTGATAAAAGATAAAAACAGTATACTTGGACAGAATCGCTCCAGAAAATTAAATTGACTAAACATGAGGAAGATTCCCCATAAGATTCAGTGCAGGAGTTCGATACACTCCAACTGGTACATGGCGCAATGAAATGAAAGATTCTATAACGATATACATACGAGCAGCAACATATGCTGCTCCTCCAAGTCCAAGAACCAACAGTTTGATGTAATGGAAGGACGACAACAGTCCGAGGACAGTTTTTTGAATTTTACCTTCAAACTTATAGCCATATTCACCTCGAAAAACTTCCCATTTATCAAGTGGGGTACTTCTCATCTTGAAAAAGCGTGCAATCTGTTTGTCCATATACTTCAAGAGAGACCAGGCACCGAATAGCCCGGCGGCAGCAATCAGGTAATAACATGATAATTTCCAGAGAAATCGCTCGATCCTACTTGGGAACAACATAGTGAGGGCGCCAAGATGAACGGACCCGTATAGCGCCGGAATTATAGCCATGGCCGCAGAGAGATATGTAGCTTCGTTTTGCGCGCTTTTGAATATTGTACCACTCATATTTGGAGCCTTCAATGCAAGAGGTGTCTTCATGCCTTTTGCAAACTTAAATGTTGGCTTTAACGAAGCTTCAATCTTCTCATTGAAAGAAATTTTATTGCTTTTGCACGGCGTCCCTTTAAGCTTTGATGATTGCGAGGATTCCTTAATGTATTTTGCAGCCAAGTTGAGCCTCCTTACATCATTGTATGTGAAGGATACTTTAATAGACCTACTATCACGTTTTGTGTTGTGGCGCATTTTACCCGAATCATGGTTTAGGCCGGGACCAAAGCCAGACTTCAATGACTGGCCTGTGACCATGGTACAAACTATTGGTAAATCTGTAGCCGGCTTGTATTCAATGCGCGTTTGGCGAGCCCTACATGATTCGGGGAGGCTCTTGATCTCCTCTTCTGATTGCCTAAAATGAGTGACAATATCACCGACTTCCTGCCATTGATCGGAAGATTGATAGTCCGATTTGGAAGCAGGAGAGATGATCCCGATGGCAGCAGCGTCGCTAGAAACAGGATTTGCTGATATTTGCTGATTACTTTGATAAATTCCCATCTCAGGTTCACCATATACGTAGTCAGCTGGCTTTGTACTATCATGGGTTGTAAATCCATAATGATTTGATGGCGCTATGTCGTACCATTTCTTTCTTGGGTGAAGTTCAACTGAGCGAGGTCCTTTCTCGGCTCCTAGTTGCAGCATAAAGGCTAGATATTTCTCATCCGCTTCGTTGAACTTCACAACGGTAGGTACCCCAACACTGAGTGGTTTCGTAGCCCAGAGTATATATAAAGCTAGGGCGCATACAACATGGACGATAGTATGCACTTCGAGCATAGTGGTAGGATAGCCCGAACACTTTCGCTCAATTGCTTGACCAATGCTCCAGATGCCTTGTAGAAATGCCAGCATCTTTCCAAGTAGGTCTGATTTACTCTTGTCTTCAATCTCTTGTTTATCGACATGTGGCGTCAAGCCGACACTAGATAGGAAGAGGATACCGTCGGTGGTGAAGGTTACAGTTTTGAGAACGTTGTGAAGATGGCTAACATCTGCAGCAAATCCGCCCATCATCGTGTAATGAGCATATACCATGTCCAAATTGGGTTTCGCAGTAGCATTGCTTGTCTGTGTGGTATCAGTGCTATACTTTTCATAGATAGAAGGGTAACCAACCTTCTCTTCTTCTTGAGAAACCAACTTCTTAAGAAACTTGCGGCCAAGATAATATTGTTCAAAAGCAGTGTATGCGACGATTTCTGGAGCTAAAAGTGCAATCATAACCCACTTTGCTTTTCTTACCCAACCAAAATACGCTTTTTCGCGAGTAGGTGGAATATTTAAGTGAATTGCTGTATATACGCATGCGACTAAAGTCCCGACACAGCTATATAGCAAGCTCCAAGTACCTCTACCATCAGGTTCTGAAACCCAGCCAGGAGCAACATCTGCCCGTAAGGCTGTGATATTGACATTGCTCGAGCTTGCACTAGCCACAGGATATGCGTTTACCGGGCTGACATATGAGGTAAGTATATATATGAGCAAAGACATTATTGAATTTAGTACTATAAAGTTTGATAGAAGACCCTTTTTGGGAACAACGAACTTGCCATGACAAGCAGATACGGCGATGGTGGGTATTTTGCGGCGAAATGTCGAGTCTGTATAACGTTCACCGAGCCCCATAAGCGATTGGAGATACACCGACATTGACAGAGGCTTAGAACCGGCAACCTGCACATGTATTACCATCACTCGATGAAATGAGAGGCCTGAAATAATTGATTCTTACAGGCATCGTCGGCGCAGCTCTGCTGTGTCCATAGATCATCCTGTTGGTGGTAAATCCGTGGTTCTGTAGGAAAACTCGCCGAACCGCGTGATTTTCACAACATCTGCTTGCATGAAGAAGAATACCATGAGTCTGACACCTAAGGCTTTCGTTCAGATCTATACTTACACGCTCTATACCGAAGATGGAAGTTGCCCTGGCATCTGCATTTGGGTAGATGAAAAATTATGCATCTGATTCACATCAGACGTTATGGAGCCGAATCAATCTATCATTTAGGGTTGAGATAGAGTTCTGATCTTCAAGACACCAGACTGGAAATCTCAGATGTCCAGATTCCTCCAAAACAAGTATATATTTGTGGATCAGAATGAGTAAACCACTCCGAAACATTTTCTTTACATCATCTAGCCAAAGCCTGGTAAGAACAGTAGGTTATTCGTCGAACAACTAGACTTCAAAGGTCTCTCGTCGAAATTGGCCGGGTGAGAGAATTGGATAGCATAGAATAGCTACTCGTTTCACCACGTCTCGAAACCCCGTTGACCAGATGGAGCTGGAAATTCCATTCTGTACAGACTGGTAATTTCGGACAATAGATAATGGTTGTTCGAAAGACAACCAGACAGCAATGATCTCTAATACAATCTTGCCAAGTCGAGAATACCTACTTGGTACGAAATCAGAATTGTTCACCTCGTCTCATACCAGAAAACGTTGATTGTTTATAGTTAAGGCTCTCAGTTTGGGTTTCTGACGGAAACATGTGAGGAGTAGATTATTATTTTGAAGATTGAGACTTCATAGCCTTCCATCGGCTCTCAATCGGATGCAACAAATGATAGGAATATGTAAAGTAGATGCAATAAGTGTCTTGTTATCTCATCTGATGCCATTTTACTAACATTCCCGAATTCAATATACCCTTCAAGTAGAACGGCTCACCAAGTGCAGTCTTGCTTTGTGAAGTTACTCCCTGCTAAGCTGCTCCGCTGAAGTCTGAGATTCTATGAAGCAGATTGCTTGGAAGGAAAGTCTCATAGTCAGTCATATTGGGGATGTAGAAATTTTGTCATTCGATGACTTATGAGGCATTAGCTTGCAGCCAAAAGACTGTTTTCCTGCTTTGATGTGCACATCATCAAAAGAAAGCAGAAGTGCGTTTTGAATCCAGCTTCACGATAACAACTCATGGACTAGGGAAACCTGCAGCACCGATTTATTCTCGAACAGCTCTCGATTTTACTATCGTAAGCTCCTTCAAATAGCGTTGGAAATCATTGTTATTTTCTTTCCAAAAAAAGATGACGTTCAAGCTTGGGGAATTATGCACAGTCTTGCTTGACCTTGACACTGCACTTACAGCTGCTGAAGGATCATCGCCCTGCTAGTGAATCAGAAATGACAGATCTCTATTTGGCTGGATGTGGCTGACTGACAATAAGTCATGCATATTCTCTTCGACAGATTATCAACTCAAGAATAGACTCTTGCCGATGAGCAAATCCAAGAAATCTCAAGATAATTATTGTCTGCCCCTTTCTCAAATTCTGTAACGAATTTAATAAAGATGATGCTTGACATCATAATGCACTAACACCAAAGTAAATTCACTGACCCCTCGGGGCCGAGAGACCCTGTAATGCTTCAAAAAATAGTCTCCACCTCGCTAAACGCCATCCGATATCGTTACATACTGATAATCTGATAACCTCTCCGTCAAAGCTCAGCTGTCCCTCTTTCTTTCCTTTCCTCCCAACATACATTTTTCAATTCAAAATGTCGTTCTTTAGTCCCCGTCGTGCTGCTCTTTTGCTTTCCATTGCAATTGTATGCGTATATGCTCAAGGCCATGCTACATCTGTTGCAAGCATGAGCTTGCCTGAAATAGAGGAACAACTCCAAGTAAGTTCTCACGATATTCTGCCTGGGCCCCATCTAACCGACTTTACTCGATAGCAATGTCCTCTTGTGCAAGATCTCAACGCATATAAACAAGTCACGTCTCCGATTACTTCGACTCTTACTTCTCGCATATTCGCAGTTCTTTTCCCTTCCACCCCAGCTGTCAATGCACTTCTAGCAACCCTTTACATCTCTGGACCCCCCAACTTTCTCCTCGCATTATGTCCACCAAATATCGATCCTTCTTCTCTCTCCGTAATGGTAGCATTTGCAGTTGGCGGTCTTTTGGGTGATACATTATTCCATCTTCTTCCCGAAATCTTCCTCGGCGAGGACGCCCATGAGAATGTGCGCTTCGTGTTGGTTGAACCAAATCGCAATTTATTGTTGGGAGTCGCGATTATGGTTGGATTCGTTACATTTGTTGCTATGGATAAAGGACTAAGAATTGCTACTGGTGGACAAGGCCATGAACACTCGCATAGTCATGGTCATGAGAGCGAGAAGGAAACTTCTGCTATTTCAAGCAACTTGGATGATACACATGCCAGAAGTACTAGATCAAGAAAGAAGGATAGCGGAAAGTCAATTGTTGAGGTTGAGAAGACTGAAAAGGAGATCAACTCTAGTGTGAAGCTTGCTGGATATCTTAATCTCATGTACGTTTCTTCGCAGAAGAAAATGAGGAGGCCACTGCTAATTATATGACAGCGCTGATTTCACTCACAACATTACCGACGGTCTCGCCATGTCCTCTTCCTTCTATGCATCCCCAACGATTGGCGCAACAACCACAGTTGCAGTATTCTTCCACGAGATTCCTCACGAAGTCGGTGATTTTGCTCTCTTAATCCAATCTGGTTTCTCCAAACGTGCAGCCATGGGGGCACAATTCGTAACCGCACTTGGAGCTCTCCTCGGCACGGTCATCGGCATCATGATCCAAGAATATGGTTCAAGCACAGAAGAAGGCGGTATTGGCAGGTTTGATGGCCTCATGGGTACAAGTTTGGAGTGGGGTGATATGTTGTTGCCATTTACAGCTGGAACATTTTTGTATGTGGGAACTGTAGCTGTTATTCCGGAATTATTGGAGACTGGAAAGGATAGGGGCCTAGAATTGACGAAGACGCTGAAACAATTCATGGCTATGGCAACGGGAGCCGGAATTATGCTTTAGTAAGTTTTTGGTCTTCCCCTTGTTTTGGTACATTTACTAACCATTCATAGCATTTCTTGGTCATAAAACCAGTACATCTACGAAATATCATGATTAAAGGGGCTTGATTTGCTTGGAATACATGGCATGGCTTCGGACTTAGAAGATTTCGAGACACCATATACGTCGATAGAAGTTGTATGAGGGATTTAGTACATGGGTAAAGCTATCGCGTTAAAAATATAGACATATCATGGTATCTGAAGTCATAACTTTTGGGTCTCGTTCAAAATAGACGTAAGGTTCTGACACCCAGATGCAGCTGTTCTATGACTGACCATTTGATGTAATGCAACGCCAATATTTTTTTCCGATCCCTTCCAAACATTTCATGATAATCATAATCGTAACCAGCTCACCCTAGTCAAGACTTGGTGCCAACGCAATCAAGCTGAACCTCAATTCCGCACCGTTTTCCTCTTCTCTCTTCAAAAATTTCCTTACACCCCAATCCAACGCCTTTCCACTTAATACGTCTTCATCTTCTCCCAACGATCCCAACTCAAGTGGGCCTCTTCTCCTTCCATCCATTTCCCAGAGATTGTTCTTCTCATCTTTGACGAAACATACGTAATGTAAATCGATGTCATCTTCAGCATCAGGTGTAGAGGATTGGCCTTGTGTTGCAGCGTTTTGATGAGCGGATTCGAGGGCTTGGGAATTGTAGAGGAGATCTGCGCGATCGATTGCGGCGAGAGGAATGGCATCTTTAATTAGTTTGTCGAGAGGAGAGCCTTGTTCTGCAAAAGAGAAAAATTATGTCAGACATGTACGTTTGACAGATACGAGGAGAGCGAGAGGGAGAGATAAATCATACCAACAAAACCCCTCGAAGCACCATTGCTCACAGCATGCAAAAGGCCAATCAATCCACACGCATTCCTGATTGTCTGTTTATACCAAATAACTGGTTCGTTCTCCCCCTTTCCTTGATAATCTTCGCGTTCTTTATCCTCTGAATAGCGGAATGCCTCGTAACTTTTTGACACGGGGAAAACGAGTAAAAGGGCGAGTGCGGGACGAGGGATGAAGGAGAGAAGAGAGGGATCTTCGATTGAAAATACGTCGTGGAAAGATAGAGTGGTGGAGAGACCGAGTTTGTGGAGGAGAGAGGACATTACTTCGGGATTGTTTTCTATGGGAGACATTTGGTTAGCTTGGGAGAAGGAGGGGGAAGACAAAGGGAGGCGGCACCTAAGGGAATGAAAGCCTTCTTGTTCGAAGGAACATCTGGATTATCTATTGCTTCCGCCATCTTGACTTGGTAGTCTTAAGTCACTGGAAATTCTAGATGTTGATTTATTTAATGTAGGTTTTGAATGAAGGAAACTTTGAGAGCTCGAAAGGCAGCTCCCGCCACTACGTAATGTAAAGTTAATAATTACCCCACGATTCGGATCATCAGATACACCGGCCTCCGGTTTGGTGCCCAATGCATCCATTTATCTTTCTTTACATCAATTTTAGCAACTCTACCTATGATACAATGTAATGATTATAAAGCGCCTCAGAAGCTTTTATATTGACCTCTCGAATGCAATATGGTAATTTGCTACTCATTCCTTATGTGTTTGATTTCTCCTAAATGATAACATTCACGACATACCTGGATCTGCAGACCCTGAACCCTTTGGAATCCAATCATCCGTTTGTTGCACTCCTCATAGTAGTTCTAGAAGAGTTCCATATCTTCAGCTCTTGAATTAAAGTTCATTCCCGCTACAATACTTTTTGCAGTCTGAAAGACTGCGCAAATTTACCAGGAACCGAACCATCCGAAATTACAAGTCAAATTAGAGTTTTGCTGAAACAGCTTTGTCTCTTGGCCTCCGGATTCTCAATTTACAACCCGGCATATACCCATTATTTTCACTGCAATTGCCATGGTTGGTGCTTGGAAAGCATTTCTTATTGCTCTTTCTTGTATCAATTCGCGCTTTCATGTTATGCGTTCCAAAATTATAAAGGATCTCTATTGCTTCGTCTATCAGGTTATAATCTATTTGAGGAAAACTTTAATAGTAAGGTAAATTGAACTTTTTTGGCGAACTCTTATGGAATTGAACCATAATAGATGAGATGAGGAATATCGCGGAGTCGTAGAGTAGACCGACTATATATATACCTATATGAATGGGCTACTCGGACCGTGTACCCTTTCATCCAAAGTATCACTGTGTGACTTTTTTGTCAATTCCATTCTTTTTAACACGTTAACAAATATCAATACGTTCCTTTCTCATTACATTCATTTACAAGTTTCTCTATCAATCATGTCGCTTCACTCATTTCTCGGATTGTCATTGTTGACTCTCGCTTCTGTAGCACAGGCGCAAGATTGTCCACTTCAGTTTGAAGGTCGTGTACCAGTAGGCACCACACCAACTGCATTTGATAACTCCAATACAAGTCTCTACAATCCCAGCTATAACTTTGGTGCAAGTAAGTTTAATTTCTTCCTGTACACTAGTTCTTCTAACATGTCCAGATCTCACATGGAGCCAAATCATCAACATCCCAACTGATATTCCTACTTCTCTGGTAAGTCATATTGTGTGCTATACTGGTTACACGCCTAACAATTTCTCAGTATGATGGAAACTCAACTATACCCTTCGAGGTTACCCTCTCTGATGCCTCCATCTTTGCTCCCTCCTCGACAAACGTACAGGTTGGATTTCGTCGTGCTGAATTGATGCCATTATCCAACAATGGCACTGACGCTTCCACCACAGGCATTAAAACTCTTCATTTCTCCATCATGAAGGATGCCTCTCGTCCTCTGAATCTCAGCCATGAGTATCAAATTGCCTTCCTCGAAAGTGCAGATTTCAGCACCAACCAATTTGTGTTGAAGACAGGCACAATTTTGGACACAAACAACACAGATTCAAATGTTTTGAGAGTTGTCGGAAATGTAAATGAGGGAGCAACCGAACTTTTCACTACTGCTTTCACCGATGGATGGCACAACTTTGGGTTGAAATTGGATTTTACCGCAAAGTTTGTTTTCCTCTCTTGTTTCCAATAAACATCTCCAGCTAATCTTGAATCAGTACAACTCAAGTATTCTACTCTACCTCTTCCAAGGCTCTTGAATCAGTCACCGAAGCTCTAACCAATGACATTTCTGGACAAGGTCAATACCACTTCGGTTTATTGAAGAAGCCAACAGATTTCGCCGCTGGTGTGGATGTTTCCAAGAATGGATTCCAGGAAAGTGGTATCAATGAGGGATTGATATTTGGTGGTATTTTCATGGAAGACAGCGAGAACTGCGACGCAGATGTGTGTGTTGAGACTGAGTAGGATGGATAAGATCGATTTGGTTTCTCAATCACAACCATTCGCTCTGGCAGCGTAACACTGAACCTTTTGAAAATATCCATATACTTTATACCTCGGTATTGATTGTATATACTGGCTGTTTTGTATGACTTGTGAAGAATTCATCCTATGTTAAATATCTGCAAATATGAACGAGACGACAGAACTCGAGATCTGACGTTGACCAAACTAATTCCCCAGCGAGATCACAGTTCCTTGAGGAGCGATTATATTGCATCTCTGTCTAGTATTCATTTTCTTCTTCCATGACGTTTTGTTTCTACCCAATATTTCTATTTAATCGATCATGTATTGCTTACCAAGTATTCCCTTCACCCACCGCAGGATGCAAAGTCGAGACGTTCAAGCATAACACCAGTGAAGCCCTCTTTCGCAAAATCTGGCTATATATATGCAAATAAAAATCGTCATTCATAATAGTCACATGATTAAGGACCGCTGGCGCAACGGTAGCGCGTTCGACTCCAGATCGAAAGGTTATCCGTTCAAATCGGGTGTGGTTCAATACCTACTCTCCGTAATCATGAGTTTTTGTTTTGTTTGTAGGTATTTTGGTCAGGGCTTTTTTTCTTCTTTTTTTAGCTGAGGGGTGAGGAAATCAGGGAGTGATCGTTTTTTTTTTCCTTGGAGAAATTGGGGTGTGGTAGGTGGGGTACATAAATGTTACAAAATGGTGGATGAAATGAAGGGGTTATTCGGTTAGCCGAGATGGGATGATTGATTAGATCCATGGGCTATGATTTGGGATTTGGAATTTGATAGATGGGAAAGTTTTGGAAGAGCAAAATGGCTGGTTGGTATTAGAATGAAGACAACTTTATTGCGAGAATTTTCTTTTGGGATAAATATGATTCTTTATTGCTTGGTGGGTGGGTGTCTAGGGAGTGGGAGGGTGAAGTTTATCCTCATGTGGGAGAATTTCAGGGTAATACTGATGCATGCAGGAAAGGGTATGCTGAAATTAGATGAAGCTTCTAACTGAGACGTGGAAAATTGTTTGAGTCATTCACTCGAATCGCTATACTTTCGTGGTTGTATCGTGCAAGAGGCAGAAGAGAAGAGAAGGTGAATATGTGATGTTTGTATAAACATCACACAAATTTCCGATTCGGGGAGAGGCTCTAAGGCGAAGAATCTCGATAGTTACAAGCTCTAGATCATCATTAATGCTATTTTGGTTCGTGACTACTCGTCTCTTTTGGATCGGACCTTTATTCAGATACTCAATGGTCGCTTGGTTTCCCATTAAGGGCTGCATAAACGGATAACAGCAGTGGGGACATAAACGCTCAAGGATATTTTTGATGGCAATGTTGTGATCGTACAACAATTTTAGAAGCAGTGATATTTTTTATTAATGGCAGTATCCGGTGATACGACAGATTTTTGTCCTGTTTCCATAACTGTCCACCATGTTTCGCGTCCGGAGACTCCTGTCATAAACAAATCTCGGTCTGAAAAAAAATCGTGCGAGGAACTTGGAGATACTCAAAGTATCCTTTTTGGGAGATTTAATTGTCGTGGCACTACTAGAAAGATCCTACAAGCTCGCTCCAGGAGTGATAACTTCTCGAAACACACCATCGAAGTCTAACAACGCTATGAAATCTTGCGCTCCTGTCTCGTTGCCATCATAAGAAAGACGTCTTCAACAAAATTATGTTGGCAAGAGAATTCTTCTAGTGTTTCTTATGGAAGATTTGGAAAAGAGGGAAATGTGTGATATGGGAAAATGGAGCAAGTGTGGGTTCAAAGTCGCTTGACTAGATTCTCCAGGTTTCATTCTTATTAGCATGAGCCGAATAGTTCGAGAATTGAACTGAACCAAGAGCTATAATGTTCAATCACGTATTAGAATAACCAATTTAGTTCGAAAGACAAAGACCAGCCACAAGAAAAAATTCGACTTCTCTCTCACCTCGACACCATTCTTCAATGTTCCTTCTCATGGCCTTGTTCCAATCACTTCTTCGATCAATCTACACCAAATAGATTGTGTGATAAAGAGAAAACTAAATCGACTCAATTCTTCAACATTCAAAAATGAAGGGCACAGAGTATCATTCGTTAACAATTAGTTAAGTCATTACACATTGCCCGAAATCAATCAAAGAATCGCAGTACTATGGTCCAAAGGATACTACAATCTGGATCTGGAATTAATAGAGAACTCTTCACTATCATCTAGTAAGCCATCAATTTTTCCAGCTTATTCCTAGAGTTCTCTTTATCCTGCCATCAGTACTTCAACCACATCATTATCGCTGTAAAAGTTCATCATTTCATCATCTGATTGTCCAACCAATCACAATATCTCAGTAACTCCATAGCACTTCTCAGCATGCCACACATAAAGCCGGCTAGAATATGGACGCAGGCAGAAAAGAATCATCTCCAGCATTTACTCCAAGAGAGACACGATGAGGGGAGGTATTGGAAGGACAGTAGAACTAGTAGAAAGTATCTCACCAGGAAGATGAATGAGAATTTCCGCCTAGAGACCAGCCTGACGGTCGAATGTTCTCTGTAAGACATGTGGAGGAATATTTGACTGAGTGGGTAGGAAATCATCCGGATCCCAGGCAAGTTGAGATGCCAGAGAATAAACCGGATTGGGAGGAAGAAGTAGGAGATGAAGAAGATGACGACGGAGGCAGAGGAGCAGTTACAGAAAAAGCCCCAGAAGAACAGGGAGAAGACGGACAGGATAATCAAGGCGCACAAGATGCAGGGAATCAAGAAGAAGAGGGAGAGGATGATGATACGGATGAGGAGAGAGGAAGACGGCGTGAGTGGAGAGCGGGAGGGAAGAGCAGTGCAGCGGAAGCCCGAAAGGCAAACAAGAAGTTGCCAAAGAGAGAGCAATAGCTGATGACATAAAAACTGTCCAGGCGCCAACTGCTGAGGGGAATGGGAGGTTGGGATTAGGATAGCATCATCGGTAGGTTGCAGATAGATACAACATGATACCATTAATGAGATATTCGTACTAGTACTCGTGAATCTGACGTCGAGTGGGGGGTACAAAAAGCTCAAGATATTTCAAGTGCCCCTCGAAGCCTGGTTAAACTCATTACATCATTACATATCTTTCAATATATGATAACATACAACTCTATCTCCTCCAGTATGTTTTGCCGCGGGTCGGTAGCTATGTATGTCCAATATGCCCCCCCCCCCCCTTCCGAGATACCAACGCTCAAGAACATCCCTACTAAATTGAAAATATCTATTTCACATTGACATGTGAGAGGAACATACTTTCTTATCCCTATCTCTGCTTTTATATATGCGAATGATTCTCGCTAGGATACTCAAATATCCGTGCTACCTCTTAACTTTGCCAGTTACCATGGGCAGGATCAAGGAATAAATTCAGCTAGAGCGACTACAGTCGTGGAAGGAGTTGTATCTGCTTCATATAAATCTCATACTCAGGCTCTACTCCTGCACCTGTTCACGCTGTTACGGCTGATGGATCAATTTCAAATATATAGAAAAGAAAAGCATGTGTTTGCATAAAATCTTACTATGTCGATTTTTATAGCTAAACCAAAGGAAACTTCCGACATAAATGTCAGATATCTGTTCAGTGAATTACACTAGACACAGGGAGACTTAAAAGAGATGGAAGAGAGCCGCGATGAATAAAGAACTGTGTATGCCCGTATTGAGTGCGATAAGTCAACTACCCCACTTTCCGACCACCCCCTCTTTTCGATCACCTCAAAAACCATATCGCTTTGAGTAATTATAAAATTTACACTTTGAATAACTTAATGATACTTTAATTAATTAATTTGAAATTTTAATATTATTATAATTGTGATATAAAAAATAAATATATTAAAAAAGATATTATAAAGATTCTTAAAGTAATTATAAATGAAATAAGTATATAAAAAATTAGTTTGAATTATAATATTTTATATATTATATTTTATAATTGAATATATAATAAAGTTTTATATCAAAAAGATATTTAAATATTTTAAAAATTATTTTTAATTTAAAAGAATTAATTAATAGAATAAATATTAATATAAGAAACTTTTGATATTAACTTTATATATTATCAAATTAGAAAAATAATAGAGTATTTCCTTATTATATAAGAAGAGAATCTTTTATTTAAAAAGAAATGGATATATAGCTTTTTTTGAAGATATTTTAATATTGGAATTAAGAAGTAATATCAAATTGATTTTATATAAGTTTTAGATATTATATCTAATATTATTAAAAAGTAGTTCTGAAATCTCATAATCCCTGAAATTAAGGTTATTAAATTAATTAACAAATGGAATATAAATGAAATAGATATAATAAAGAATTAGGGTTTTAATAGATTAATAATAGAAAGTATTAATTAAAGATTTATTCAAAAAAAGCAATCTAGATCTCAAATTTGGATTTTTTTTATAAAATATATTTTAATTAATAAAAAAAGTATTATTCCCTTTATAATATATATAAAAAAATCAGTTTAATAATAATGATTTCCAATCGATTTGACTCTATTTAAGGATTAGAACTTTATTACTATAGAAAATGAATGGACTATAGATATTATAGCTTTAAAATAATTGAAAAAGATCTATATCCCTCAAACTATCTTTATTCAACCGGAAAATTCAAGATTCCTTATTTTGAATAAATATAAAAGCCATAAAATTATAATATTTATATTAAAATACTTTAATAATAATATATATCTCTTATTTCTTTTATTATATATATTATATATATTATAATTATTTGATTTATTTATATTCTTATCTTTAAAAAATACATATCAAATTGAATTTAATAAATTAAATTTATTATCCAATTTCTCATTAATTAGAAAATGTAATTTTCTTTTTTATTATCAAAAGATTAGAATAGAAGATTTAATTATTCAAAATATTAAATTTGAATAGTAAGCTAATAATTTTTGGTTTAAAAATATAATTAAATCTCTTATAAATCGACTTTTATTTGAAAATAATAATAAAAAGATTTTATTATTTAATTCTAAATTTAATAATAATTCTATTTTTTAATAGAATATATATTTATTATTTATTTAATAAAAAACTTTTCAAAAAGAAGTTAATATTAGAAAATATAGAAATATAATAATTCAAGAGAAAAAGATTGATTTATTAATATAAAAATTATTATTTTATAAGATTATAAAAGGATTTAATATTAAGAATTATAAATTCTTAGAAATAAAGAATAAAATTAGAAAGTTAGAATATCAATTAAATAAAATATTATTTAAAAAAAGATAAAAGATTATAATATTTTTAAATTCAAAATTTGTAAAGATTAGAGTTATAAAGTATATACAAATTGAAGTAGGAGATTATGAAATTAAAAGAAATAATAATTTTAGTATTATAAAAAATAATTCTATAGATGATTTTATTGAAGTTTAATAGTTATTGAGTTATTAAAGTTTTAAGTGTAAATAATATGATTTTTTTAGGTGGTTGGAAATAGGGGGTGGTTGGAAAGTGGGGTAGTTGACTTATGCAAAGAAAGATACATGCGAGTAATCTAGGTTAAGGAGTTGAATTGAAGAGCTACATCAGTTTGTAGTCTACAAAATAGAGAGATATCAGAGGGATATTGATGTAATGATCTATCTATGACTGATTCACATGAAAAGATAAATATACACTCAAGATACGTATATTTCAACATTCGGAGAGGTAAATCAATTCGATGGTACTGAGATTGATTGAAGAAATCACGTTATATCAATAGACTTATATCTAACTTGTACACAGAATAAACATTGCTCCTCATCATCCATACACGCACATATAAGTATACGATAAGGATAAAAGTTGTCAGCTAGTCAACTGAATGCAATTTATAAAGTGGAGAGCAGATATAAACGCCAAATTTCATGTTCGTATTAAGCTGGATATACAATATGAAGGAGTGTTTTGTAAGCTATAACGGATAGATAAGTGCCTTTAAAGAGCCGCGTTGTATACTAGGAATTATGAAGTTACGTTCCTCCTGCCATGTCGCTCAGTGGACGATACTTTTGACAAATAATCAAGATGAGAGGTGTAACAAATGCAACCGCAAGTAGTTTCTGTGACAGACGATTGAAAGCAGATGTGCAACAGGAAGACATCCCAATTTTCCATTACATGTATCTTTCCATTTCGAGGAGGAAATGTTGCTTTGACAAATAATTGGGATGAGATATGCAACAGGGAGTTATCACAACGAATGGCCAACAAGAAACATGGAATAGAAATCTTCTCAAACATTTCTGTTGACACACAAATCAAAATATATATGCAACATGATATCCTTCCAACTTGCCAGAGCGTGCAATAGGGTTCATGACCAGTGGACAACAATGAAAGACTGAACACTTGGAAGATAATGTAATGAAGATTTCAACATACTATTTAATTACCATGAATCTGTAATGGTTAAGGAAAGATACATAGAGTAGCTATCTAAGTCAATTGAACATACCACATCTATAGATGGTAATATATGTTAATACTCCCCTCCATCTCCTATACTGTGCTATACTACTACTACCTTCGGAATTGCGGCACACAGAGGCGTGCAACAAACTCATTTCCTCAACTCTTGGAGCAAATTATCAACAGATACATCTCGACAGGCAGTACAAAGTCGGGAGTGTAGAAAATTATACACAGTGTTCCATTCTGATCCCACTCAGAGTAGCGACATGAATAGAAAGCTCTCGATTGTAAATGCGAATGAAGGCAAAGAATACTAAGTCTACATTTAGCTTCTACATCGTCACCAGAACTACTCTCCCATATCCAAGTTTGTTATCCGGGTATGTGGATGATGTAGATATGCGACAAACTCTACTCTAGACAACCACGAGATGACGCATATAATCGGGGAAGAAAGGTGTGATCACACTTATACATGAAATTTCAATAGATCTATATGGGAAGAGCGACTATGACGCCTACATTGTGCTTGTAGAAACAAGTCGCTCTATCTTCGAACGGCAGATATCAATATACTCCCATCTATTACATTATAGATTCCTCTCTCCGGTCGGTTTGAGAATAGAAGGTTTGTTATTTTCTAGCGCAGATGGCGCAATAGATACTCTTGTACTTGTTGTGGGCGTGGAGGATAGTTATTCTATTACGAATGCTACTCTGACCAGACTATATTCCCAGAGTTGCAACCACCATGTAAAGCCTAACAGTATACCAAGATCATATTCTAACCCAATCCGAATCATCACCTATAAAAGAGTTTCTAGTTTTATAGAATACTATTTGATCTACAGATCCCAGTATATGATATAACCTCCCCGTATGTACACCGCACCATTACCTCTTTGGTAAAGAATGAATGACCAATCAATCTTGTGAAACAGAGATCTACTAGAGCCAAGTTGTCAAATGCAACTAAACTAGTCCAGATGTCAGATGTCATCGGACATTTCTTGCTTATTAATAACGAGCAGGCTCTAAACTAGCGATCTTTATCACAACTGTATAAGTCACCTAACCCATCAATTTGACCATTCAACTACAAGGTAATCAGGAAAATATTCAAACTAATAGGATAATAACGATAAAATCCCAGTCGCAGAGCTAAAAAAGAGTCCAGACCTGAGTAAGTCGTTCGCTGACCTGCAAATTACCTAGTGCCTCAAAATCCAAACGAATCAAAATACTATTGATTTCTTCTAATATACGGTAGACCGAGAAGACTCTAAGAAGGAAGACCAAATCAGCACTAAAATAGAGGTGCTATGTTGATCCCCCAGATTTGGATAAGCTGTCAAATTCGTAAAGTAGCGAGAAAAAACGCTACTGACGTGTATCCCAAAAGAAGAAACGTCATGTTGACGTCAACAAAAATATCAACATGCATGATTGAATCGACACCGTTTTAAGCCAAGTCGATGCCAAGTATACCCATGAGCTTAATTCTCCGCATTATTAAATAAGAATAGAAAATATGAGATAGTACTTTGGAGGATCGACGTCAAGCTTAATTCAAAGGCGCGGGGTGAGTCTCGTACGCAACCTGAGTCCACAGATAGAGCTGAAAATGAGTTGGCTTTGGCGATCCCCTAACCTCATGCTGCTAGTAAGAGGAGGTTGAAAGTTTGCAAGCACAGTATGTATTCCTCTCTCTTATCTAGTCCGCGATAGTTTAGGCCAAAGATATGTCTGCAGAGCTGAAAATAATCGAATGCAAGTACACGTAGAGAAGGCCCTTCGACTAGTACAGTGTATATTCCTCTCCGTACATAGTATATACCAACACCCATGAACTTGTAGATCTCAGAGGAAAGACCTTATCGAGAGAAAACTTTAGGTACAGGAAGGACGAAGTATGTTGCTCTCCGTACATACTACTTGATACCTAATACTTTAAATCAGCATCTAATAACCACCAAGATCGAAGAAACAGAGCCGGGCTATCTTAGAAGAAATGGCACTTATCAAAAGAGCTGACACCATCGCAACAAAATTCTCTTCCTCTCATGCGATGCCCAATTCAAATCCAGCTGATACCAACGAGAAGAACCACAATGGTCTAAAACCCGACTCTCGAGCCAATTGTCAATTACGGAATATCAGGCCAACGCCAATGTGATCATTGATGACACCTTCATTCTCAAATTCAGAGTTTGGCTTGTTGCCTACGTGCGAAGTGATCAGAGTGAGATCCTAGTAGCATCACCAAGACAGAGAATAAAGTTCGAATACCTGCACCGTCGGTACCGTTGATGTGCCAGTGCCAGTGCAATGGCCGTGGCAGCGAGAGTAGTTTATCAACATTCTCTAGCCTTGGGCAGACACAAGGAACTGATGCAAATATCGCCGACGCAGGCTAGCTTTTAGATCATGAAGTTGGCTTCAACAGGATTTTTCCATCAAAGTCTCGCTACTCAGGAGACCTTACTTGTGGATGTAACCAGAGATCATCGAACACTCCTTCATTTAGCGGTAACGGAGTTTCTTGCAAGCGGAATTGCAATCGACAGCGTCGACCAAGAAATTATACGATGTAGAGTATCATCCGGCAATTCCTCACCCCTTCTTGTCGCGATATTCTAAAATCTAGACCAACTTTTCCGAATCCATTTCCAATTTGACTAACACACACATTCATCTATCCATCTATCTAATTCCAGCTTCGCGCGTTTGTACCCACTGAGGTATATTTTCTACTGGTTCTGCAAAAAAACCGGGCCTTCTGCTATTACCCTCCATCCCATATGACGGCGAAATAGATCCTTCAATCCTGTCGCGTAACCCAACATGGAAAGCATTCTCTACCGACGCGTCTCACTTCCGTCTCACGAATCACAGCAAGAAATCGGAACAATCGGCTCCAAGCCCACATATGTAAATCTCACTGCAAAAATTATATCCCAGTAAATCCCTCATTGAAAAAGATGTTCTTCCACGCGGTAAGAACGGCACATACGATCGGTCAACTCTTTGTGTTTCTCCGATGGAAAATATATGGAGTTTTTGAGGCATCTTCCGATAAATCAATACCGGCAACCCACACTAAACTGCCTGTAACGCTGTAACGCTACAATTGAAATAATTGGATAGCCTATAGCAATCCCCGGGTATGTATAAGCTATGTCCCTACATACATACAAAATTCTCCACCATAAACCACAAACCGCGGAACTGAAATTGACTTTGAAGTTTGAGGCGAACGAACGACCCATCGTTCAAAATTCGCCACGTAGATTTGCGTATTTGGTTTCTCTCGATATCTGAATTATATTAATTGACTCGTTTGGGTAATAGTCTAGAAGGATCTTGGAAGCCATAGAATCTTCTTAGTGTAAACAGGGCTGATTCGTGTTATGTACTACCTCCCCGAACTATCTCCATATTTTCCCTGTCATACGACATCATTTGAGTCGGTTTGATTTGCCCAAAGAGGTACATGAGTAGTGGTAATGTTTGCAGATATGCATGTATCCTGAAGTAACTTGGTAGCGTACCATCCGTCAGTAGCCAGCCCAGCCCCAAGAAATCACCAAGCCCGGAATCTTCAATTCCCTTCCCCAAAATCGTAAGATTCTCGTCTCCACCGAGCAACATCATCCCAAAGTAGGAGGAGATCTCTCTCTCCAATAACATGTCTCAGCTCCAATAATCTCCATAATTGAGGTTCTCCTTCGTCTTCTTCTTCTAACTTCTCTGCATGTACTTGCCCGCCAACTAGCAAATCTCTTAGGCGCTCCAAATGCAACCCCGCCAATTGCTCCACAAACCAAGTTCGTGTGATATGATCCCGCCTTGAATGAACAGCACCAATAGTAAATAACCAAATCAGCCATTGACATGTTTGTTCTGTGGTTGTAGCGGTATCAATTGTGGACAGAGATTCTTGTAATTGTTGTAAGAGGATAGAAGGACCAGTCGAGGAATGCGGGTATTCTTCAATTATCGATTTCATGAATAGTAGAGCTCCGATACGAGTTGCTTTGTCGATAATAGGTTCTTGGTTCTCTTCTAGAGACAGGGGAAATGATAACAATTCATACTCAATCCAGTAAATATCATCAAGAAAATTTCCTGGGTCGAGAAGAATTCTGCTTGATGAGGCGAACTGTATGGACTGGTAGAAGATAGCTAGATGTTGCATTGTCTGTATGAGATTTGGATGAATACCGCATCTAGCGAGTGTAATTTCAATGTAAGCATTGATGGTGCCGATTCTATGCATCGGTAGAATTGTAGATATTGATATTTCAGAATGATTTCGTGGCTTGTAGTAAAGATACGGTTCAGCAGCATAATCAATCGCACCAGTGATATCAGACCTTGAAGATAATTAGAATGAGGTTGTTCTATATTTTTAGTAAAATCACCTACCGACGAAGTTTTGTCTGTATAATCATAGGAAGAGACGACATCGTGCCTCGCGTATTTATCATTTGTTGTATACCACGCATATGAATATGCCATAAATCTAAGTGCCCTGTATTTGCCTAAGTGGAAGTTTAGTAGACATCAAACAATCATATACCAAAATGTGACATCGAAATTTAGACATACTTCACCCAAAGCTACACAAGACAAAGCAGCAATAGTACTGTCGTCTGCTGGTTTCCCATCCTGAAGTCTTTTCTGGACTATTTCCAAGGTTTTGCCAAGGTGGTATACTGAATCTTCCGAATCCTTCCCACCTTGAAGCAAGGAGAGATAGATTGCGCCAGCATATAATATCGCATGAAACATTGCTGCATCGCTGATTGTAAAATGAAACCATTCATCTGAACGTAGAGGATTGGAAGAAAGATATTTGGATAATGGGTACATTCTCGAACTAACATGCGTAAAATATCGGCTCAGCAACCGGTGCGTTCTTGTCGTCATCTCAATAGGCCATGGAGACAAGCTGAGTGCAGTCGGAAACCCGATGAGATTCTCAATAATAAGACCGTCATGTTGGTGATAATCAGATATGACTGACTTGGGTTCTACGAAAGGTTTTATACATTTCGAACGGAGTTTCGGATCTCCTTTACTTTTCCGAGTCGTTTTGCTTAGGAAATCATTCCTCGCATGCTTGCGTACGAACTTTCGTACATTAACATCTGTTTTTGTTACAGAAGATGATAAATCGACAAATGCGAACTTTTGTTTTGGTCCCCCCCCTTTGCAGTTGATGGTTGTGGCCGATGAAGGATGAGTTGAGGTCGAGGATTTGCTTTCTACACGACTTTCTTTGACGGAAAATTCGGTGGCTTTCCACTGAATTTTACCTGGGATATGCCAATCCTTATACACATCGATTTTGGGACCATCTGTACCTATAGGCTGTGTGGCATCCATCTTGGTGAGGGATATAAAACTTGAATTCAATGTCTTTGAGGCAAAAATAAGGGAATATCACAAAAGTGGGGTAAATATTCTTGCCCTTTCACGTTGCAAATAAGAAAACACGAATTATCACAGTCAGATGAAGACATCGGAGGAACAAATGTTCTGCGGGCAACAAAGACAAATTCAAAGCATTTGATGCTTATCAAATCTTCATAATTCCAGATCTGGAAATTGAAATTTCCTCTTTAGGTAATTACCATTCACTTTTTGGAGATGCGTCATTTCTGTGTAATAAACCACACGTGACCAAGAATTATTTTCGGGCTGCAGTTCGACGACAGGTCGTAAAGATAGATATAAGGGTATCGAAAAAGGAGGATCAGAAATGCATCATTATAATTCATACGATGTGTTGATTTGGTAGTTTCAATTTGTGATATGGTTTAGATATTGGTTATGGAAATCAGTTGTGTAAGTAACGCGGGTCTATGGCAAGTTTTTGATATCAAAATAAGAAAATATGCTCAACTTGATGGAAGCAGCAATTATGATGTCTTTTATTCTTTCTAGATTCGAAATTTTCCTCTAATTACGAGTAGTTCCCGTTCTCAATGACTCTGGCATTGGAACAACTAGTTATCATCTACCATCCATGAGCCATTCAACTATAGATTATAGACCACACCCATAGACCATATCCTGATCTCACATACTCAACCTCAATCCTCCACCTCTCGAATAGAGCCTCACCTTATCAAACCCCAATAAAGCAACTCCCAAACCACAGATGCTGACTCCCAACGCCACCTCCAGCCCTAACACAATCGCTTCTTTCTTCTTCCACTCCAAGAAAACATGAAACACCCAGTATATTTTTCCTTCGTCCATGAAAGAGGACCGAGCTTGTAGCTCGGTCGCTAAATTCAACTGACTCCTGAGATGAAATGCATATCATATACAGATCTTCCCGTGCGCACGAACAAGCGCTCTCCATCTCTCCATCGACCATGAAGGAAATGCCCTACCGTATATCAAAATGTTTGGAGAGTATGCTTGGTATGTCTGAGGATCGTTTAGATTTTTAAAACCGTGTGTTGGTGTTATTACCGTGCCCTAAAAATTCCGATCGATAATACCAGTGAAACGACAAGCCAATTTACCTAACGTACCAATTTGAAAATTTTATTCCGCCAGATTTCCACAGATATTCATTTTTCGTTTCAACATGTATGGGGCAATTCTAGCCAAGCATACAGTCCCTTTTCTTGGAAGCTTCACAATGATGGGGTCAAAACTATATGGCGGGGTGAATTTCAGACGAAAGTCAAACCCCGCCCCTTAAGTTTTGTGTGTTCTGTTGGGAGTTTGATATTGATATTATTTCAGAAATTTGGGTATTTTCGAATGTATCAAAACCTACATTGAAATTGGTACCTCATTTGATCTTTTTTTTTGTGAGTTTTGAATTCTGACTTTGGGATGTGATCGAGACACTTGTCGCAATGGGAAAGGAGAATTGAGTTGCTCAATAGGACGATATCTGCTCATTCCCATGGATGCCATTTGATGTTTTTCTTGGTATCAACTCCTTCCTCCCTATCGTCTAGGATTTCCTGTATGAATAAATGAATCCAAGATTTCATATCGTTTGATTTCCATATAAAAAAATTCTGTTGAAACCAATCCCACAAGAGATACTTGGGGGCAGAAAAGGAGCAACATGAACCGAAAGCACCAAGGAAAATTGACTTTGGTCCGAAGAAGGGGCGAAAAGCGTGATGAGACGGCATTTGATTTGAATTGTTTGACTTTTCATTACAGATGTGAATTGAAATGTAAATTGGAAACGATACACCCTTCAATTAGCTCCATCTGCAGCCCATCCCGCTGCCGACTTCGGGAATTTTAGATCAAAGCACGATTGAACAAGTTTTGTAAGGTCTTTCCTGGTAGTTTTGCGCCCTACCGTATTCAATGACTTCTCACACTCCAAAATCTTCACCCGTCAAGACATTTACTGTGTAAACTAGATAATTCGAAAAACCACTATGTATGAACACGAATCATGTTGTTGAAAATCAACCATACTTTCGTGGGGTGTCTAATCAAGTCCATTGGCCTATAAATTTCGTACCATAAGGTCCGTGGAGGTGCAGATTGGCGTCGGAGGAAATTGGAAACATTAACCAAGGGTTCCAAGGATTTCCCCTTCATTGTCGCTTAATTTTGCACCTAGCTTTTGTAGTGGTTTGTATGCTCGTGCACCCATCAAATCAATTCCCCAAGGAGTAATGAAGTTGAGAAGCAGCTGAGAAACTAATCATCCTTTGCTCGGTTGTCATTGGAAGAACATGGTGTCTGCAATCTGTCAAGACTTTCTTCCATGCAGTAGTGAGATAAAAAAATTTGTTCTTCGTTTCGTCGATTGTCCTGTCGGATTGACCGGCGCTGGCGTAGCCTACGTATAGCCTAGATAGCACTCGACTTTCTCATTCTTAGGTCATGGCTGCTTGCCCCAATAGGCTTGAACGCCTAGAAGACGCCTAGAAGAAGATATCTTGAGGTCGTAATACACACCTAAACAGTGCTTGAGAAAAATCGAAATTTGGAATATTGTTGACAGAACATTCTGTTTTCATCTCATCTCATCTCATCGGGGAGAGCGATCAAACCAGTCTTTACAGGCAGTTCGAGAAAGCTGAGCTTGGAAAACGAAAGGTGGCGGCAAACTCGTAAACTTCCAATGGTTCACTCTGACTTACATACGGATTCTTACATCAATTAATGGATCAAATCAAGGTATTTTTTCTTGCTTGCTCGCGTGCCTGTCGCATTGGAACCCTTGCGAATGAGGGATATAAAATATTTCCGGTTTGCCCCCTCCCCCCCTCAAGACCAGGGCCCCAGTTCCCGATCAGGTTCTGACGTATGTCTTTCACTGTACCTACCCGCCTTGTGTAATCACCCAAAAGAAATTAAATGCGCTGTTCGTAGAAGCTGACATTCACGTGATCAAAACAAACTCCCTTTTCGTCACCCAATATCGCATCCGTAAATTGCCCATTGTGTGAGTAAAGAGTTACATTGCATTTGCAGCATCTAAAATTCTGCAGGGTTCAAATTTGACCGACGAGATGAGGCGAAACCAAACCAAACGGCCGAGAATGAGGATCAAGCTGCAAGACGAAAACTCTACTGCTTCATGGCAAATATTATTTTACTAGGATTTTTACGGTATGCGAGGAGTCTTACTAAGGATGTAGGAGGAAGTCTTAGGAAGAGCGCTGTTGGCGAGCAGAAACCAAGACTTGGAGCGTCTGCGACTATCCATGGGGTAGTTTGATACCCCAAGGGAAAATACGGAGTACCCCAAAAAATAAGGCCCTTTTTCAGAAACAGAACTGAATCCCTGAATGTCAGTTATTTGTCCGAAGTTTATCAAGGTGGGCGATCTATTCTGGGCAGATTTGATATGGATGAGAGGAATATTTGACACAGGATTAATTGGCTACGCCATGCTAACACAGCTTTGTGACGTTGATGGAGTTTTTTGGTGTTGAATGGGCAAATCTGAACGTAAGGAGGGCGATTCGTTTCGTAATAATATGATATTAGCATTTGTAGACTTCTGGATACTACGACGTCAACAGCATCACTATTTTTATCGTGTGATATGTCAATCCTACTAACTTGTCTATCGAATTCCTAAAGATGCAACAGATCGCATTGCGTGAATGAATTAGGATGAAACTTTAACTTTCCTTCCAAGCAAATGCCACGCCAGCGATAAGCATGCCCAGCACTTATTGTATTGTAACCAGCCATTTTGTGTTCATATGCAGATGAAGTAAAAATGATGTTATCGCAGGCTTTCGGAGCCAACTCAGGTAACCTGAGGTATTTTTAGTTCGAGGCGCTCAAATGGAACTGACGGTATTAATTCCGAGGCTATTGCAATGGGATGAAAGGGATGTAACGGTATCACTATATTGGGAGCCTCGGATCGGATATGTTGGATAATTACGTCGTTACCTAGAGCCGACCAGACGACTATTATAATTGCGATGGGGAATTTGAGGGAATTGAACGGTTATTACGGTATCCTTTCGGTATTTCCAATACCAGTATTCCTCACACCGGTCAAAAGTGGAGGTGACGATGAGAGCGCTTACTGGACGTTGGTCGAGCTGACCTAATTTTTCAAAGACATTCCGAGCGACAGAAGGTTTGCATAGTGGAAGGATGAACACTTCCTTCATCCACCCATCGTATTGCCAAAGAGAGATGCATGAGGCTACCGATGCGCGATTGGTAGGCCCCGTCGCGTCTTTTCCATTTGCAAAAGGTATGCAAAGAGGGTTCGTATGTTTTGACCGCGTTATGTGTTAATTCTTATTGAATTTTCTCCAGTATTTCTTGGGGGAAGAAAGGCCGAGTGCCGGGAAGAGGAGGAAGAAGCCCTTTTACCCTGCACCGTACTCAGACTCACTCATCTTGGTGATAACTTAATATTACCCAAAACGATTGCAGTATCTATGAGTTCATATCCAGGTTATTCAGATAACTACCTATCTACAGTGTGTTGTATAATAAGTTTAGCCCAAGTAAATAAACCATTTCGATTGCTCCACCTCTAAAATGTCAATTTCGCAATCAAGCTTTCCCTAAACAATTAGTCTCCATCTTCACCCAGGTTTCCCTTGTCTTTGACATGAGAATTGATGCAAGATCTGATGATCCCAGTATATGCCTCCGTATTGTCTCAATTGCATCCCACCGAATAGCTGCACGGTTCTTGAGAGATAACCAGCGATTGCAAGAGTGACAGTGTAAATAACAAGCCTTAGTAACGTCATATTTAGCGCAATTGTAATCGTGCCGCAATGCCGGGGGAGATGAGAGTGAATGAGTGGAGTGAGAGTTATTGCAGTGTGGTGGTACGGTGAGGGGAGAGGGGGTGGTGAAAGGGGGAAATCTATGGGCTGGGGATGGAAATATTGGAAGCGAGA